TCAGTCCGGCGGTATTGTTCTTTCAATGTACTATTTAAGCAAAAAATAAAGCACTGAAATGAGTCATTCCCCCACCCGGTTTGTTTTAAGTACCCTGTGTGTGTGTACCTGAGCCCAAGCAAAGTTAGTAGATTCTAATCCTGCTTTTCCTCTAAGGAGCTGAGGGTAGCACACATCTCCTTTCCTCCATTTTATCCTTGCAACGACCCTGGGAGGTAGGTTAGCCTGAGAGTATATGACAGGCCCCAAATCACCCGGGAAGCTTCCACGGCCGAGTGAAAATTCGAACCCAGGCCTCCTAGGCAGAGACTCTCAACACTACACAATGCTCCTTTTGCATTTGTTAGGGGATTATTGGTATTATTATCATATGACGTTGTGTGTAGAATGGTCAGGTGATCCTAAGACTGTCTGGCAGTCAAATGTTCAAGCTCTTTAGTGTTATGTACCACTAGGTGGCAAGCTAGACTTTTTTTTAAGGCAAGAGATGTTTCAGAGGTGGTTTGACATTGCCTGCCTCTGCCTCACAACCCTGATATTCCGTGGAGGTCGTCCTTCCAAATACTAACCAAGGCCGACCCTGCTTGGCTTCCGAGATCTGACGGAATCCGGCTATTCAGGTCAAAGCTGTTAGGGGATAAGAAGTGTATTTACCAAACATTCTGGGTCAGAGATCCCTAGATCCAGTGGTCCTTGAGAAATTCCCACCCTGGCTTCCAAGTGCCAAACGCTATCAGTGATACCCCCAGAAAATGGGGATGGTGTAGAAAAAAAATGCCTCTATCTAGCTGAAAGTCCCTTCTTCCAAAGAATGTTTTCTTTACTACATTTATACACTCCCTTTTCCCCCAACAGGGACCCTAAATTTATTTATTTTATTAGTTTGATTTATATCCCGCCCTCCCAGAGGCTCAGGGCGGCTCACATGCGGCAAAGCTGAGTACAAAATACAATACAGTATATGATAAATAGAACATTTAAAATCACAATAAAACCTTCCAGTAATACAGTGCTATACCTATATTAATCATCCAAGATGGGGACAACCCTCCCAGGTTTGGTGGCCAGCTGTCTCAGTAGCGTGGTCTCCCACTACACTGTCTCAAACTTCTGCCAGGGCCCGCTTGCCCCCGTTTTTATAGGGCAGCCAATGACTTGCCATCTCGGTGGTAGAATAGTGGCGGCGGCGGCTCCTACTCGAACGCCTGGCGGAAGAGCTCCGTCTTGCAGGCCCTGCGGAACTGCATAAGGTCCCGCAGGGCCCGGATCTCCTCTGGGAGCTCATTCCACCAGGTAGGAGCCGCCACCGAAAATGCCCTGGCCCTAGTAGAGGCAAACTTAATCTCTCGGGGACCTGGCACTCCCAGGAGATGGAGCTTACAACATTCTCCCCTTCTCTATTCTGTCCGTACAACAATCCTACGAGGTAGGTTAGGCTGAGCGTTATGTGACTGGCCCAAGGTCACTCAGCCAGCTTCCATGGCGGAGTGGGGATGCTGACGTGGGTCTCCCAGATCTTAGTCTGGCCCTCTGACCATTATGCGACACTGTCTCTGATAACACTGAACCTCTTGGCTTTCAAAGCAGTGCAGGGTGAGTTCTGGCTGAAGACGTAAAGATAGCGGCCACAGCACAGGCTTCAGTGTCTTGCAGAATAAGGCTGGGGTAGACGAGACTCACTGGAAAAGACAATAATGCTACTAGGAAAAGCTGAAGGCGACAGGCAAAGAGGAAGACTTAACCAAAACCAAATAAGTGGTTTTTTAAATCAAATCAAGCCTGAGCTCTCCCTAGAAGCTAAAATGACTGTATTTTGGTCATGTGATGAGAAGACAAAGAATGCTGGGAGAGAGAGTAGTTTTACAAAGAGCTGGAAGGTAGCAGGAAAAGAGGGAGACCCAACGTGAGATGGATTAACTCAATCGAGGAATCCACGGCCCTTAGTCTGCAAGACTTGAGCAAGGCGGTTCACAACAGGACTTTCGGAGGTCACTCATTCATAAGAGTCGCCTTCAGTCAGCTGTGTCTTGATAGTACTTAACGCCCAGACAGTTCACGGGGACTCCTTAAGTCCAAAGTCTCACGATGGCACATAAAACACACACAGTATATATAATCCCCCGCCCCCACTGGCTAATTGCAACAGATTAAACTGCTGCAGAAGGTGTAGATCTGGGGACAAACGTTCTCCTTCCTGGCCTCATTTCGGAACACCAGGTAAAGAAAGATGGACCCAAATACGCACCTGACCTGAAGCGAAAACCATGTGCTACCTTTTTACTGAAAATGACCCAAACACTCTTCTGCAGGCAGGATTTGTGAACACAAAAAGGGGAATCTCTCAACAGGGGTGGTCCGGTTCTTCAATCTACTGGGAAAGTCCCTGGAGGGCCCCTGGCACCCAAGAGCAAGCCGAACTAAGTAGAGGCCCCTTGCAGTGCCAGCCGAGGGGTGACCCTTTGAGAAGAGATTGGATTTATACCCCGCCCTTCACTCGGAGTCTCAAAGCGGCTTACAAACTCCTTCCCCTCCCCACAACAGACCCCCTTTGAGGGAGGCGGGGCCGAGAGAGCTCTTTCAAGGACTGCTCTTGAGAGAACAACTCAGGACTTGTGACTGACCCAAGGTCACACCAGCAGCTGCATGTGGAGTGGGGAATCAAGCCCGGTTCTCCCAGATTAGAGTCCACACACTTAACCACTATGCCAAACTGGCTTCTGGCTTTGCCATGGCCCCGATCCCAGCTGAGCACCCTCTATGGGATTGGCAGCAACACAAAGGATGCACTTACCTGCTTTAGCACCTTGATCCACTCCTCTCTCAGGCCATTAAAAAAATTAGCCTATTATGTTTATCAACGGCCCGCTAGGGCCTCAAAATCTCTCGGAATTACAACTGATAGCCAGATAGAGTTGCCAGCCTCCAGGTGGCAGCTTGGAGGTTTCCTGAGTAGAGATGTAAAATTTCCGGAAATTTTGAAGCTCGGAAAAACACCTGGTTTTTCCCCAATTTTTTTTTTTGGGGGGGGGGGCGGACGAGGACTGAAATTTTCGGAAAAATTGAAAAAAAATGCTACATTAGCATTTCTTTTTTCTTTTCCAGATTGAAAGTCATTCTGTTACTTTAGGAACATAAAATACGACTATGGACATTTTTACTTGGCATGAAATTGTCACAACTAGCATATTAAAAATATAGTGTAACAATTATTGCAAACAGAATACCCACCCACATGCAAAAACAAAACTGAAACCTTTTTCTTTTCTTGTGACAACAGCACCTCTTAAAGGAAGGAAAGCATCTTGTTCTTGCATTGGGGAGTTCAGTTTGTAACCTAGGACTTGCTTGTCCTCAGTGCACAGAAATTAGATCAATCTGATACCCATACATATTTTTTAGAAATGATTTGGAAAATATTTGAACACCTTGTCCTAAAATATTTTATTCATCGTGCTAAAATAAAATGTTCCATAATAAAAAAAATTCTTTTCTTGAGATCACAACTGATCTCCAGGTGACAGCAGGTCTCCTGGAGAAAATGGCTTTGGAATGGGACTGTATGGGATTCTACCCCCTTTTTAAACCCCGCCTTCCTCAGGCGCCATCCCCCAAATCAACAGGTAGCTCTCAACCTGGAGCTGGTAACTGTATCTCCAAACTGCAGCGATCACCCCCCTCCCTGGGCAAAAATGACTGCTTTGGAATATGGATTCCAGTTTCTTTCCATCAGTGCTGAGGTCTCTCCCTTCCCTAAACCTTGCCTTCCCCAGGCTCCTGACCCAAATCACCAGGGTTTCCTGACCCACTGCTGGCCAACCTAATTTGGCCTACTGAAGAATTCTGTAACAGGCGAAAGCTTGCCCATTGTGTTCCGTTCATCCGGTTGCTTTGAATAGAAGTATGATGGCAGGGTTTTGTTTTCAGGTTTCCCAAGGGACCTATGTGACTCCCAGCTTTTCTTCCACCCCATCCAGGACTCGGGGGGGGGCCCCCCCGCTTCCATAGCATCCTTGTAGGGTTGCCAACTCCAGGTTGGAAAATTCCTGGAGATTTGGGAGTGAAGCCTCGGGGGAGAGGGTGGTGCTTGGACAGGGGAGGAACCATAGAGTCCACTCTCCAAAGCACCCGTCTTCTCCAGGGGAACTTGAGCTCTGCGGTCTGGAGCGCATTCGCCATTCCGGGAGATCTCCAGGCCTCCCCTGGAGGCCGGCAAGCCTGTAAAATGCAAGAAATACAACTGAATAAGAAAACTGCTCCTGTGAGACAATGCACGGGAATGCACCTCTGCATTGATTCTCTGCAACAGGTCATCATAGCCCCAGCTATGTATCCCGTCCCGTCCCTCCGAATAGATCCCACTCCCTCTTCTAAACCCGATTTGTATTTTGCATGCTAGCCCCGCCCCGCCTGTTTCAATACCGCAGCTGTTTCTATCACATGACGGTCATAGGACTGGGCAGCTCGTACCATCTCCCCAAGAAGGGGGGCTCAGAAGCCAGGAAGCCGCAAGGGAGCTGCCCATTCTAGTACTGATCCCCTTTCAAGCTCGTCACCCCCTTTTTGGTCCCTGAGCTCTACTTCAGCGTGTATCTTTGCCTTCCTCGCTCTGCGGGCGACACATCCCTGGCTGAGGGGTCACGCTGCCTCCCCCGCTTTAGAGATGGTCTTCCCCACTGTTTCGCTAGCGCGCGTGCCCTCGGGCTGAACTATTTGCAGATCCTAGGGAGGGAGATCTGTGGAGGCCGTGAAGGGCTGAGGAAGTTATCCAGGGAGGTTTTGGGAATTCAGGTCATCTCAGGATGTGTTTCTTAAGCTCTATTCTCTTCTCTTAAATTCGGTGAGGCTGACTAAAGGCGGCGAGAGCTCTATCTCACCCCCTTTCGGAGGACGTCGAATGGTATCTCCGGCTCAGTCAGTGTCAGGCGCTTTGGGTTGGAACACAAACCGTGGAACGACGCGCATGCGCAGAGGGGAAGGCGAGTCAACCAGAAGGGAGAGACCCTCTCTATGCAGGGAGACCTCAAGCAGGTCTAGCACCTTGGAAGGACACCTGGAAAGCGGTGCAAAGGTAGGCTCTTCTGGCTGGGGTGGCTGCCCTGCGTTGGGCATGCGCGGCTGTCTTTTCAGAACGCGTCAGTCAAGTTGCTCAAAAGCTCATTTCGTTTTTATTGACCTTATTTATAGTCCGCCTTTAAAAAAATGAGGATGGGGTCAAGGCGGAATATAGCAGTGCAATCCATAGGACTGCAGGGATGAATCGGGAATCAACACTCTCCTCCTCTCCATGCCGTGGAGTTTTATTCCTTAAAACATGTCATCCTTTTAAATTTCGTTTAGTTATATTTTTGTTTAACCAGGTGTTGCCAAACCAAAGTTGCGTTATAAACAGGTGGAATATTGCAAACATGGGATCAGGGGCTTTGTGGCTGGGGTGTGCGTGTGCGTGTGAATGGAGGGCAGTACAAGAATGTGGGTCGAGAAGGAACCCTTGTGGGTCCACGATTTGGGATGGGATTTGATCCTGGAGACACAAGGGCACATAAGTCAGATCTTTAGTCTGCCAAGGCCTGTGCTGTCTACTCAGACTGGCAGAGGCTCTCCAGGGTCTCAGGCAGAGTTCTTTCACATCACCCACTTTCTGATCCTTTTAACTGGAGATGCCAGGGATTGAACCTGGGACCTTCTGCATGCCAAGCAGAGGCTCCACCACTGAGTCACAGCCCCTTTTTACAGCTCTCCGGGGTCTCAGGGGGAGGTCTTTCCCATCACCTCCTGCCTGGTCCTTTTTAACTGGAGATGCCGGGGATTGAACCTGGGACCTTCTGCATGCCAAGCAGAGGCTCTACCACTGAGCCACAGCCCCTCTTTACAGCTCTCCGGGGTCTCAGGGGGAGGTCTTTCCCATCACCTCCGGCCTGGTCCTGTTTAACTGGAGATGCCGGGGATTGAACCTGGGACCTTCTGCATGCTAAGCAAAGGCTCTGCCACTGAGCCACAGCCCCTCTTGACAGCTCTCCAGGGTCTTAGGCGGAGGTCTTTCCCATCACCTCCTTCCTGGTCCTTTTTAACTGGAGATGTCGGATATTGAACCTGGGACCTTCTGCATGCCAAGCAGAGGCTCTGCTGCTGGGCCGTGCCCCACTGGGGAGATCTGCCTCTGTGCAGGGGGGTGGAGAAGAAGGAGATTGGCCTCTTTTGCCCTTTCCTAAAGGGCCTTTAAAGAAGAAGAAGTATCCAGTCGTTTAATATTTGTTAAATTAGAGGCCCAACTTGAGGCTGAAGAGCATGAAAGAGAAACAAGTTACTTTCTCAAGAAGGCACTTTATAAAAGTTTACCTGGTCTATGTTTTATTTGGGGGAGGCAGAAGAAAGGTATCAATCCCACTATGATACCAAGGCATTTTTCCAGATGTTCTTTATAAAGAGGTAGAACAGCTAGATTTACATTCAGTAACATCTTGGTGGCATCTTGCTCTGGCCTGGATGGCCCAGGCTAGCACGATTTCGTCAGATCCCAGAAGCTAAGCAGGGCCGAGCCAGGTTAGCGTTTGGATGGGAGACTACCAAGGACGTCCAGGGTTGCTATGCAGAGGCAGGCAATGGCAAAACCACCTCTGTTTGTCTCTTGCCTTGAAAACTCGGCATAAGTCACTTGCAGTGTGACAGCACTTTCCTGTTAATGCTACCACCTGATCTTTTTCCTGACCTGGTTGGTCCAGGCTTGCCCAATCTTGTAAGCTAAGCAGGGCTGGCCCTGGTTAAGACGCAAATGGGAGACCACCAAGGAAGCCCAGGGTTGCTACGCAGAGGCAGGCAATGGCAAAACCACCTCTGCTCACCTATAGGCTTGAAAACTCTGCGGGGTTGCTATAAATTGATTGAGACTTGGCAGCATTCGCCACTGGCACGTTAGACCAGAAAGAAAGATGTGTTTGCTTATCTCTGTCATAGATGGTCCCAGCTCCTGCCAACCTAGCAGTTTGAAAGCAAGAAATTGCAAGTAGATAAATAGGGACCGCTTTGGTGGGTGTTGGATCCCCAAGCATCGAGAATAAATCCACGTTTTCAAGAAAAGCAAAATTTATTTCAAAGCGTTGAAGACATACTCAAACACGTTCTTTGTTAGAACTGGGGATACACAGTTAGGGCGAGCATAATAAAGGAAATTCAAACAGATACATATCCAATGAATAATATTCCCGCTGGCGGGCTAATGAAACGGTTGCGCGCCCAGTCCATGGGAACCAGGCAGAACATCAGACAAAACACAGGTGCAGTTCTCATGAGATAGCAATAGGCAAGCATTACAGCATCTTCTCCCCCACACATCCACCAGTAGTTATCTTAGGCATTCCAGCACAGAAGCAGGATAGTATAAACAAGCCGGGTGCAACAGGGTAAGGATATGTACACAGAGGTCACAGAAAACAGAATGGCAGCTTGCTGACATACTGCCCCCCTTAAAATACACTTAAAACACACCTCCCGGGTCGGGCGGGAGTTCTCCCGGGCTGGGCGGGAGACCTCCCGGTTTGTCCGGGAACCTCTTGTGGAAACTACGGATCAGGTAAGGGGCCCGAATATCCCCTTCTTCCACCCATTCGCGGTGCTGGGGACCGAAATCAACCCATTCGATAAGGTACCAGAGTTTACCACGTTTCAATTTACAATCAAGGATATCAGCGATCTCAAAATGTTCATCCCCTTCCAAAATGACAGGTGGAGGAGGAGTAACTGCTGGTCTCCAGGGAGACGGGCCAGGATCCTTCTTCAACAGGCTCATGTGAAAAACAGAATGCAGAGCACGTAAATTCTTAGGCAAAACAACATCAACCGCCACATTATTTATGACTTTACGCACTTTGAATGGACCAATGAACTTCCACCCCAATTTCCTGCTAGGTCGCAGCATCTTAATGTTCTTGGTCGAGACATACACAAGATCCCCAGGTTTCAGATCAAACCCCACCACCCTACCCTTGTCTGCCTGGGTCTTGTAAGCAGCCTTGGCTGCGTCAAGCGTTTGGCATAGCAGAGGCCATGCATTTTGCAAGGACATACACCATGTATCAGCATCCCCCACAGGACGTTGGCCCATCCCCTCCAGGAAAGGGAGGGGGGGCTGTCGTAACCAGAAACAGCTTTATAAGGAGACATGCCCGTGGAGCTATGGACAGTGTTGTTATAACAATATTCAGCAAGAGGCAACAATTCACACCAATCATTTTGTTGATAATTAGTAAAACAACGAAGATATTGCTCCAGGGTCTGATTCACTCGTTCTGTTTGTCCGTCAGTCTCAGGATGATACGCGCTGCTGAGCCCTTGTTCCACCCCTAAAATGGAAAGAAGTTCCCTCCAAAACTTAGAAACAAATTGGGTCCCCCTGTCAGAAATTAATTTAGCAGGTAATTGATGAATTTTCACCACGTGAGACATAAACGATTTCGCCAACCTCTGAGCTGTAGGCAAGGAAGGAAAAGGCACAAAATGAGCCTGCTTAGAAAATAAATCAACAACCACCCAAATAACAGTGTTCCCTTTGCTCACAGGGAGATCAGTAATAAAGTCCATGGACACCACTTCCCAAGGCCTCGATGGAGTAGGGAGTGGTTGCAGAAGACCGGGAGGCTTGCCCCCCCTGGGTTTAGTTAAGGCACAGGTCTGACAGGATCGAACAAAAGTCAATAGGTCTTTGCGCATGTGTGGCCACCAAAACTGTCTGCGGATGAGTTGCAGTGATTTAACAAAACTCCAATGTCCTGCCAGTCTGGAACCATGAGCAGAATCCATCACTTCCCTCCTCATTGAAATAGGCACATACAGTTTGTCCCCAGAATAAATCAGACCTTCTGGGCTACGGACATAATCCGGCAATGCACGCAGGGAGGCAATATCTTCACCAGTAAAAGCAGAAACATTTTTCTGGACCCAGGCCCCCCCCCCCATAGGGAAAAGGGAAGGCGAAGTCTCATCAGAGCGAGGAATTGAGCGCGCTTGCGCGCGGGTGACAACAGCCCCCCCCAGGTGGGAGGGGGAAAAAACAGAATCCATGATGATTTCACGCTGACTGTCATGTTGTGGGAGGCGTGAGAGCGCGTCAGCCAGGGAATTAGCCGTCCCAGGAAAATGACGAAGAGTGAATCGAAACTTAGCAAAGAAGTCCGCCCAACGAAGTTGTTTAGCGTTGAGAGAACGGGGGGATTTCAGCATCTCCAAATTCTTATGGTCAGTCCAGACTTCAAATGGCAGTTGAGCCCCCTCCAACCACTGCCTCCAAGTGGAGAGAGCCAGCCGGATCGCTGACGCCTCCTTCTCCCAAATCCCCCAGTTTCGTTCAGCGTCCGAAAAATTTTTAGACACAAATGCAAGGGGGTGTAAACGACCATCTTCCCCTTCTTGCAAAATAGCGGCCCCCATTGCCACATCCGAAGCATCAGTCTGGACAATGAATTTTTTAGTTTCATCAGGGCGCGCCAGCACGGGCTCAGACGTGAACATACGTTTAAGTTTCTCAAAAGCCTCCGCGCAAGCAGGGGACCATTTAAGTGGGGCGCCTGGTTTGGTAGCATCAAACCCCTTTCCCTTGGTTTTCAACAAATCGGTTAGAGGAAGGGCAATTTGAGCGAAATTCTGGATGAAATTTCTGTAAAAATTGGCGAATCCGAGGAACATTTGCAATTGTTTGCGGGTTCTGGGGGGTTCCCATTCAAGCACGGCCTGTATTTTAGCAGGGTCCATTTCCACCTTCCCCCCGGAGATGCGATAACCCAAAAAGTCAATGCAGGGCTGGTGGAATTCACATTTAGACAGTTTGGCGAACAGGTTGTGCTCATAAAGCCTCTTAAGGACCTGGCGCACCAATTTAATATGCGACGGGAGGTCCTGAGAGTACAGCAACACATCATCAAGGTAAAGAACCACCCCTTTGAACAAAAATTCATGTAGGACCTCATTGATTAAGTTCATGAAGACCCCCGGAGCCCCTTGAAGCCCGAAGGGCATAACGAGGTATTCAAACTGCCCCAAGGGGGTATTAAACGCAGTCTTACTTTCGTCCCCCTCCCTAATGCGCACTCGGAAATATGCATCCCTCAGGTCAAGTTTCGAGAAGATTTTGCCTTTGGTGGCCTCTGCCACCAAGTCCTTGATAAGGGGGAGGGGGTAGGCATTGGACAAAGAAACAGCGTTCAAACCCCTATAATCCGTGCACAACCTGAGCCCCCCGTCTTTCTTCTTTCGGAAGAGAACCGGCGCGGCGAAAGGGGAGGAAGCCGGGCGAATGAAACCGCGGGCCAAGTTTTTATCAATAAAATTCCGCAGTTCAACTTTCTCAGCCGGCCCCATCGCATAGATTTTACCTTTAGGCAATTTACAATCAGGCAAGAGTTCAATAGCACAGTCAGTAGAGCGATGGGGGGGCAGTTCGTTAGCTTCTTCTTCGCCAAAAACTTTCGCCAAGTCTCTATACTCTCGAGGCAAAGACGCTAACTCTTCCGGCTTCAAAGTGCCGCAGGGGAACTGCGCGGCAGGCCGGTCCCCCCACGAATCCAACCAGCAGTGATCTACACATTTTGGCGACACGAATTTGACAACCCCTTCTTCCCACAAGATGTAAGGGTCATGGGTAAAAAGCCAGGGACTCCCCAGTACCAAATCAAACTGCGACTTAGGGGTAACAATGAAGGTCCTGGATTCCCAATGATCGCCAGCCCCCAACCGCAAAGCCATAGTCTCATGCGTACAAGGTTCCATGGGCGCCCCATCCATTTGGGTAAAAATGATGGGAGATTTCAAGGGGGTTATCCCCGCTTCCAGTGTCAATAACACTCTAGGGCTGATGAGATCCCTCCCACACCCAGAATCAATCAACGCTCTCACCCTGACGTGGGTACCCAGGAGCGGATTCATTAAAGAAACAGTCACGAAAAACAGGGAAGGGGTTTCTCTCACCACCTTGGGCGCAGTGCTGGAATGGCCGTGTCGTTTTGCGCCTCTCACAACAGGCCGTTGTCGTTTTCCGCCGGTTCAACCTCTACCTCCTCTTCTGACCCGGCAGTGGGCGGCTCGGTTCCCTCCGGACCTTGGGCCGCCTGCAGAGCTTTGGAGAATCGCGGTTTGGCCATCCCCTTCTTCCCCGGTAGTGGCGTCTTAGGCTTCGGAGTAGGCGGCTTGTCTTTAGCTTGACGGCTGCCACAATCCACGGCGAAATGCCCCTTCTCCCCGCACTTCAGACAGAGCCCCATCTTCATGCGCAGGTCTCGTGCCGATTCCGACAGGCGTTGAGTCTTGGGTCTGGAGGCGCTGGCAGTGGCGGGTCTGTTGGTCGTAGCAGCCAGGTCGAGTTTGATGGTGTTGAGCCGATCCTCTGCATTTTCAGCTTCCTGGGTCCAAGCCATCAGGGAGATAGGATTAACAGTCTTCAAAACCGTTTCTCGGATGTCCGCGTTGAGTCCCAATCGATACATCTCAGCCAAAATATGATCAGGGTAGTCTCGGAGCTTTGCTGCCTGCTTGTGGAATTCCAGCGTGTATTCACGGACCGACTTCTTATTCTGACGATAGGTGCGGAGAAATGCTTTGGCCCTTTGGCTCGCGTTGACATCTTCAAACCGAGCCCGCAGCGCCCACATGAATGCTCGCAAATTCAAAAGTTCCGGACCGCGGTCATTGTGCAGTCCCACATACCATGTGGCGGCGTCTCCTTTCAGTCTCGCCGAGATGACATCAATGAGAGCAGCTTCATTTCGGAAGAGGTGTCGGCTCTCTTCTACGAATTTGTGCACCCTCACCGTGAAGAAGGCGAGTTCCTCTGGGTTGCCGTCAAAGGTAGCCTCCAGTAAATCCTTGGGTCTAAGCCGTGGAGTCCTTCCCAACGGTCCCAGCTGCCCCGGAACTCCCCCGAGAGGAAGACCCGGAGCAACCGGTGGTCCCGCTGGCACTGGCCTCATCGGTGGCGGCAGACCCGGCGGCAGACCCGGCATCGGCTGTTGCGCAGGTCCTACTTGCTGCGGAGGTCCGGCCGGTGGCTGGGCAGGCACCTGCGGCGCGGGAACTCCCGGTGCTGGGGCAACTTGCTGCTGCGCGGCGTGTGCATCAAGAAAATTAGCCATTCTAATGTCCATCATCCCCGGCAGAGCTTCCATTACATCCTGGAATGCCCTCAACAGGTCCCTCACCGAGTATTCCAGTTCCTCCAGTCGTTCCCCGGTGGTTTCCTCAGGGATCGGATCTCGAGGGTGGGAGTCCGGGGGTGGGTCATAGTCTCCTTCCGTTTGGAAGCCCCCGGCTCCCTCCGAATCCTCTACGTGGCCTCGGGGCCCCGATGGCTCGAACATCCACTCTTCGAGGTCTTGCTCAGAACACCCCTTCTCCGAGGTAGCCCCCGGCTCTGGGAACAATCCCTTGTCAAACAAACTTTCACGTAATCCGCTCCCTCGACGGGAGTACACCTCACGAGCGCCTTGAGTGTTGTACATAGTCCAATCATCCTGCCGTTGAGTCTTCCGCGGACCCCAGTGCGAAGGGGTCGGAGGCGGCCAAGACAGATGTGCAGGCCGGCGGGGAATCGTTCCCCCCACGGCACCCTCCAGCGAGGCTGCCGTCACCAAAGGAGCGGAGGTGTGTGGGACCGATCCTGAATCCCCCTCCGTTTTCGGTAGGTCTCCCTCAGCTCCGCTCATGATCTTGCCAGATTCGGAACGATAGGAGAAAGGGAGTTCTAACAATATGTTGGATCCCCAAGCATCGAGAATAAATCCACGTTTTCAAGAAAAGCAAAATTTATTTCAAAGCGTTGAAGACATACTCAAACACGTTCTTTGTTAGAACTGGGGATACACAGTTAGGGCGAGCATAATAAAGGAAATTCAAACAGATACATATCCAATGAATAATATTCCCGCTGGCGGGCTAATGAAACGGTTGCGCGCCCAGTCCATGGGAACCAGGCAGAACATCAGACAAAACACAGGTGCAGTTCTCATGAGATAGCAATAGGCAAGCATTACAGCATCTTCTCCCCCACACATCCACCAGTAGTTATCTTAGGCATTCCAGCACAGAAGCAGGATAGTATAAACAAGCCGGGTGCAACAGGGTAAGGATATGTACACAGAGGTCACAGAAAACAGAATGGCAGCTTGCTGACAGTGGGAAGGGAACAGCGTTCCGTGCGCCTCGGCGTTTAGTCATGCCGGCCACATGACCACGGAACTGTCTTTGGACAGCGCTGGCTCTTCGGCTTGGAAACGGAGATGAGCACCACAACCCTTGAGTCGGATTCGACTGGCTTTCGAGCAAGGGAACCTTTACCTTTACCTTTTACCATAGACTACCTAGACTGGAGTCCAGTAGTGTCTGAAGGACCAACAAGATTTTTGGGGTATAAGCTTTTGAGAGTCAAAAGTTCCCTTCATCAGATTCCCTGAGAATCTTGTCTGTCTCTAAGGTGCTGCTGGACTTGAACCCAGCTCTTCTACCGCAGACTGACACGGCTACTCTCTGGAACAGTTTTTCATAAAGGTGTAGAGAACCGGTGAAATGACTTGAGATATACTGAGACGAAAGAAAATGTGTCTCTGAAAGATGTAACTTACTTTCTACATTTTTATGTATTTATTCATTTGATTGATAGACCGCCCTCCCTGTGGGCGGGCTCAGGGCAGTTTACAGCAATCTTAATATAATACTATTAAAACAACCATTAAAATGACAATTTAAAATAATGAAACCATAAAATACCATGCAAACATTTTTACAAATAACCTTTGGGAAAGCAACTTTTTAAAAAAAAGGTACGATTTTTGTACCTATCACGCCTCCCTGAAAAAAATCAGAATATCATATTTTAAAATGTGTGATGCGCTAGGTACAATGTTTTGTTGCTTTTAAAGAATGTGGTGTTTTACTGTTTGCCGTTTCCCTGAACAAATACGAACTAAAGCCAGTAGTGAGAGCCAGTTTGGTGTACTGGTTAAGTGTACGGACTCTAATCTGGGAGAACCGGGTTTGATTCCCCACTCCTCCACTTGCACCTGGCTGGATGACCTTGGGCAAGCCACAGTTCTGACAAGAGCTGTCCTTGAAAAAGAGCAGTTTCTGTCAGAGCTCTCTCAGCCCCACCCACCTCACAGGGTGTCTGTTGTGGGGAGGGGAAGGGAAAGGAGTTTGTAAGCCGCTCTGAGACACCTTTGGGTAGTGAAGGGCGGGGTATAAATCCAATCTCTTCTTCTTCTTAAGTGTTTTTGTTTTGTTTAAAGGGACTCAGTTTGCACCCAAAGCAGAACCGGGTTTTGCTCCCGAAAGCGGAAGAAGGGGGAAGCCCCCGGGAGGAATCCGGGGTGGTTCCGTGGGCTCCTTCCTCTCTTTTGGAGCGGCGAGGATTGAGCCGCGATGAACGCCATCGTCGTCTTGTGCCACTTCTGCGAACTGCACGGCCCGCGGACTCTCTTCTGCACCGAAGTCCTGCATGCCCCTCTTCCGCAGGGCCCGGGAAACGGGGACAGCCCCGGGCAGGACGAGGAGGAAGGGGGCATTCAGATGAGCAGCCGGATTCGCTCACACAGCCCGGCGGAGGGTGCCAGCGCGGATTCCAGCAGCCCCGGACCGAAGAAGTCGGATATGTGTGAGGCAAGTAGGCCGAACTTCGAGGAAGAACTCGGCCCATTCCTGCTTCGCTGCAAATGTTGAGGATTCTTTTTCTTGCTAAGGGCCAGTGTTCCCTCTAAGCTGAGTTAGTGTGATCCAGCTCACAATTTTTTGGCCTCTGGCTCACACATTTTTGTCTTAGCTCAGGAAGGATGGCACCAGAGCAAACTAATTTATGCAGTAGCCAAATCGCTTGCTCACAACTTTAATGCCAGTAGCTCACAAAGTAAAAATTTTGCTCACAAGACCTCACAGCTTAGAGGGAACATTGCAAGGGCCCTAAATGGCTATCTTAAAGCTGGCGTTGGTTTTGCAAATAGATATAGGGAAGTCGCTTCTTTGGAAAAGAAAATCCTCCCTTTCCTTTATGGATACCCTGCCTTTCTCCCCAACGGGGATGCAGAGAAACTTACATTGTTTTCCGCTTCTCCATTTTGTCCTCACGAGGACCCTGGGGGTGGGAGGTTAGGCTGAGGAACTGGCCCTGTGCCACCCAGCAAGCTGCCATGGCGGGGGGCCCCCCCCCCCCCGAACCTGGCTCTCCCACATCTGAAACTCAGATCGCTGCACCACGCTGGCTGCTGCTGTACTTCATTCTCCCGTCCCCCTTTTGTGTTCACAACACAGCCCTGTGAGGTAGGCTAGGCCAGTTTGGTGTAGTGGTTAAGAGCGGTGGACTCTAATGTGCAGAACCGGGTTTGGTTCCCCACTCCTCCTCCACATGCAGCCAGCTGGGTGACCTTGGGCCAGTCACAAGTTCTCTCAGAGCTGTTCTCTCAAGAGGAGTTCTGGAAAGAGCTCTCTCAGCCCCACCTACCTCACAGGGTGTCTGTTGTGGGGAGGGGAAGGGAAAGGAGATTATAAGCCACTCTGTGACTCCTTTGGGTAGTGAAGGGCGGGGGACAAATCCAATCTTCTCTTCTTCTGGGCTGAGAGTGTGGCCCAAGATTGCTTTATGATTTTTGTGGCAGAGTGGAGGACTTGAACACAGATCTGCCTGCTAGTCAGTGCTCTAGCCACTAAACCGGCAAATATGAAACTGCTTGAGTTAGAGTTTGAGTTCATATGGCTCAGCTGGGCCTCCTCGACCCAGCAGTAGCTCCCCCGCCCCACAGTTTTTCCTAGAGACGTGGGGGATTGAACCTGGGACCTTCTGCATGCTGAGCATCAGGCGGTTGGTGATATGAAAGCCCTGGAGAGCTGCTGCCGATCTGAGCAGGCAATACTGACCTTGATGGACTGAAGTCTGATTTATGTAACACAGCTGTGTGCGCGTTCAGTTTAGGGATGCCAGCCTCCAGGTGGGGCCTGGGGATCCCCTCGAATTACAGGTCATCTCCGGACTGTAGAGATCAGTTCCCCTAGAGAAAATGGGATTGGCTTCCCCACCATCGTCACCCTGCCTTCTCTCTCTCTCTCTCTCCTTCCCCAGCCCCTCTCCCAGCAGCAGGGCTAGACGCACTGGGGGTGGGAGTGTGTGGCATCCTCAGGTGGTGGGGCAGGGCTCGTGAGTGGTGGGGGCCCGCCCCCAAATGCCCCTCTGTGGCTACAGGCCTACTGTGAGGCAGGTTAGGCTGCGAACATGTGACTGGCTGACGGTCCCCCAGCGAGCTTCCATGGCAGAGCGGGGATTCGAACCTGGTTCTCCCAGATCCCAGTCTGACACTCTAACCCAGGGGTGTCAAACATGCGGCCTGGGGGGCAGATCAGGCCCCCCCCCCCAAATGGCTTCTATCAGGCCCGCAGTGGAACTGGCTGTCTTCTGCTTCTTCTTCTTCCAGTTCTGCTGCTGCTGCGTCATCGTAGGTTTGCAGCCTACAGATATACACCTGAACAGCATCCTCAGGATGGCAACAGCACAGGCATTTCAGAGCAGGAGGTGTCAGTTATCAGACACTGTTAAATAAACCAAATAGTGCAAGAGTGCAAGAGTTTTAAGCAGGGCTATTTTTGGGCAGGAATAAAAACAGAGTTCCGGCTGGCTCCTGAGTTGGCCACGCCCAGCAGGAACTCATTAGCATAATAGGCCACACCTAACAGCAGAAACGCATTAGGATTGGCTACATTAGGGGTGTGTGGCCTAACATGCAAAGAAGTTCCTGCTACAAAAAAAAGCCCTGGGTTTTGACCACAAACAAGGTAAACAGAATAACAAGGAAAAGGTGGGTGTGGCTGGATAACCACACTTCTGGTAACATGGGGTGTGGCCTAATATGCTAATGAGCTGTGTTGTCAGGGGTATGGCCTAATATGGTAATGAGTTTCTGCTGTTGGGTGTGGCCTATTATGCTAATGAGTTCCTGCTGGGCTTTTTCTACAAAAAAAGCCCTGGTTTTAAGCATGTTTTTATTTTAAGTAAATAACCAAAAAACCTTTGTGTTTGTGTCCTTTATGAAGTTTAATATTTCCGCTACCTGGGATTACATTTTAGGACACACATGGCCCCGGCCCAACAAGGTCTCATTTGTGTCAGATCTGGCCCCCGTAACAAATGAGTTCGACACCCCTGCTCTAACCAGTACGCCGCTCTGGCTCCATTTCTAAAAAAAGGCTGTGGTTTTATCCCAGGAGTTCTGGCCGCGAAGTGACCTTCTCTCCGCTCCTCTCTCTCTCTCTCTCTCTCTCTCTCTCTCTCTCTCTCTCCCCCACCGCTTCAGGGTTGCCGCTCTCTCCCGGCGGGCCATCCGGGCTACGTCAGCCACGACAAGGAGACCTCCATCAAGTACGTCAGCCACCAGCACCCGAACCACCCGCATCTCTTCAGCATCGTGCGCCAGGCCTGCGTCCGCAGCCTCAGCTGCGAGGTAGGCCGCTCGCCGTTGGGTTGGGACTCTCCATTCGGGAACCAGGTTAAACACCCCCTGAATCGTTGGCATTCCCGTTAGCCTCGGTGGAGCTGTCCGGGTCTAAACAAGGTGCAAAGGAATCTGCTGCCTCTAGACCGGGGGTGCCCAACCTGGTGTCCACTGAGCTTTTCAGGAAGTGGGCGGGGCCATCACAAGGCACCGGCTTGTTATTGGCTGTCCTCTTTTCAAAGGAAGAATTTTCTGCTGGAGGATCAGGGAAGCGCCTGGCTTTTCTTAGCCGGTGTCTGGTCACCGTCAGTGTTCCCTATGATGAGTTAGTGTGAGCCAGCTCACAGTTTTTTAGCCTCCGGCTCACACATTTTTGTCTCGGCTCAGGAAGGGAGGCTCCAGAGCAAACTAATTTATGCAGTAGCCAAATGGCTCACTCACAACTTCAGTGCCAGGAGCTCACAAAGTAGAATTTTTTGGTCACAAGACTCCACAGCTTAGAGGGAGCATTGGTCACCGTCACAATTTCCTTCTTCCTGGAAGGTGTAAAGGGGGGGGAATGTCATCCATTTGGCTCTGCCTTGTGAGGCAGCCATTTTGGGCTTTAGCTCCACCTCCTCTGGCAGCCATTTTGGCGTGGCGCTCTCCACCCTCTCTGGAAATTCCAGAGGTGCCTACTTGCTCAAAAAGGCTGGGGGGCCTTGCTCCGGACCACTTCCCAGTGGGGATTGTGAGATGACACCCATATTCACTGCGATGGCGAAGGGGGTGTGTGATCTCCCATTTCTCAGTGGGAGAGGGCCCAGAGGAGTCATCGGGATCTGCTCTCTTCTTGGAACATAAGGCTAGTGGCCCATCCAGTCCAACACTTTGTCACACAGTGGCCAAAAATACCAGGTTCCATCAGGAGGTCCACCAGTGGGGCCAGGACATTAGAAGCCCTCCCACTGTTCCCCCCCCCAAGCACCAAGAATACAGAGCATCCCTTGCCCCAGACTGAGAGTCCCTATCTATACCTTGTGGCTATATAGCCACTGATGGACCCCTGCTCCATTGGGAAATGGGAAACTGTCTGATTGGGGTGGGCTGTGGGCCTCACATGAACACATAACATCAGAAGAGCCCTGCTGGGTCAGACCAGTGAGGGTCCATCCAGTCCAGCCTCCCGTCTCACACAGGGGCCAACCAGTTCCTCTGGAAGGCCAGCAACAGGGCAAAGAGGCCGAGGCCTTCCCCTGAGAAGAACATCAGAAGAGCCCTGCTGGATCAGACCAGTGGAGGTCCATCTAGTCCAGCATCTCGTCTCACACAGGGGCCAGCCAGTTCCTCTGGAGGGCCAACGACAGGGCAGAGAGGCCGAGGCCTTCCCCTGATGTTGCCTCCTGGCTCTGGGACTCAGAGGTTTCGTGCCTCTGAATGTGGAGGTTCCCCTCAGTCATCACGGCTAGTGGCCATTGATAGACTTATCCTGTATGAATCTATCTGATCCCCTTTTAAAGCTGTTTCTTCCTGTGGCCACAGAGCTGCCTTTTCCTGAATCAGACCCTTTGTCCATTAGGGTCAGTATTGTCTATTCAGACGGGCGGAGCATTACGATCATTTTTGTCAAACTTTTTTTTATTTAAATGAAGATTTTCTTGATCGACTTGGGAAATTCCTCTGCAGCCGGCCTAAGGGGATGTACAAAAAAACGTAACAAAATTAAATATAGAGGGTCATAATTTATTTATTTATTTATTAAATTGGATTTAATAGGCTGCCCTTCCCTGCAAGCAGGGCTCAGGGCGGCGTACAACAATATTAAACACTCACATCCAGTACATTAAAAGAGTTCAATAAATAACCATAAGTAAAGATTGTATTTGTTGTTCAGTCGCACAGTCGAGTCCGACTCTTTGCGACCCCATGGACCGGATCACGCCAGGCCCTCCTGTCTTCCGCCGTCCTCTGAAGAATTGCATACAAAATACTTAAGGTGGCGGTAAATCCTGACTTCTCAGTCTTCCTGGGAGGAGGGGCCAAGAGAAATAAGGAACCACATGAGAGTGCCAGAAGTAGGGCTGCCAAATTGGGCCGGGGAAACCCCCGCTTTGGAGGCCCGATTTCCGCCGCGGCGGAACCAGGCCCCGGGGGAACCCCGCCCCCGGTGTGCGCGTCACTAGCAAGTGATGTGGGCACGCCGGGCGCGCTGGGGTTTTCCCTTGTATGGCCGTGGCCCCACCCCCAGCGTGCCTACGTCACTTCCGGGTGACGCGCACGCAGCGCACGCGCACCCCCCCAACGCCGGCCGGGAGCCCCCTGCTCCCGGCAAAGACGGATTTAGCAACCCTAGCCAGAAGAGGTCTCATCGCTGTCCTCAACTTAAGGCCCGGCGGAACATCTCTGCCTTCCAATGCCCCGCGGAAAGGTAACAGCCCCCGCAGAGCATGGATGTCTTCCGGGAGAGTGTTCCACTAGGCAGGGGGCAGGTCGAGGACAGCCGGATGTCTCTTGGGCCGGGGCCTACCAGCAAGTTCTTATTTCCTGAGCGTAATGCCCTTTAATTAATTTAATTAAAACCGGGCATTAAAAACCTAGCTGTGGCATAGCGCGTGAGAAAAAAATTGCCTTCTTCTGAGTCAGAGTTTTGGTCTGTCGAGGCCATTCTTGTCCGCTCTGACTAGCAGCTGCGCTCCAAAATCTTGAGTCAAGGTCTTTCCCATCACCTATTGGTTGATCCTTCAAGGTCAGTCTTGTCTGCACTGACTGGTAGCAGCTCTCCAGGGTCTCAGGGAGAGGTCTTTCACATCACGAACGACATGATCCTTTTAACTGGAAATGCCGGGGATTGAACCTGGGGCCTTCTGCTTGCGAAGCAGTCGCTCTTCCACACAGCTACAATCCCGTCCTAAAGGAAGCTGTCTTCTATTGCTGTGGCTTTTATATTACACAATATAGTACAAGTTAATTTATTGTATTAAGCCATTGGCCATTACGAAATACAAAAGGCACCATAGCAATAATAAAAATTACCATTACCACCATTAGAATCAGATTAAAATTGACTACAAATCGTGCTGATAAAAGGCTAAAACAGATTTAATCAGGTAACCAGCCCCTTAGATCTAATTTTGGATGCTGCTAAAGCAAACAAACTCTATAGAATACATATGCATCATTATCTGAGAGCAGGAATATAATCTTCTCAGTTTCTGTATATGTTTGCATAGCCGATAGGATTCTTGCTAGAAATTTCTCTCCTGGGATACTACAGGGGTCATTTCGTAGAAAAAGAGGTGCAGGAGCTCATTAGTATAAATCATTAGCATAACTTATTTGCATATGCCACACACCCTGACATCACCGGAAGTGTGTCAGAAGGCAACACCCACCACTCAGGCTCCACTGGACTGTTTTGGATTAGTAGCTATTGGGGGGGGGGGACGTGCAGATCTGTCTTTGCAGAGGTGGGAGAGCTTGCACCTGAATAACACTTGGTGTTAAAGGTGCCACTGGACTGTTTTGGGGGGGGGGGGCTCTGCAGCTTACCTGGCTGCTTCTTGCTCTGACTGAGGGCTGCTGGGAGCAGGGGGTGGGGCTTGTTGCATGTGCCTGCCCTCTGGGGTTTATACTGCCGGAGCTCCGCTCCTGTGCGTTCCTGCAGGAAATGACTCCTGGGATACTACTATATAACGGACAGTAGACCATGTAGTGAGGAAGAAGAAGAAGAAGAGAAGAGATTGGATTTATACCCCACCCTTCACTTGGAGTCTCAGAGTGGCTTACAAACTCCTCTACCTTCCCCTCCCCACAACAGACACCCTGTGAGGTGGGTGGGGCTGAGAGAGCTCTTGACAGAAACTGCCCTTTTTCAAGGACAGCTGTGCCAGAGCTTGTGACTGACCCAAGGTCACATTAGCAGGTGCAAGTGGAGGAGTGGGGAATCAAACCCGGTTCTCCCAGATTAGAGTCCGCACACTTAACCACTACACCAAACTGGCTCTCTTCCAAACTGACTGAAGGTCCTCCACCACTGACAGGCCACGTACGCAGAGACAGTCCTCTTTTGGAGTATGTGAATAGCGGCCAGCCAAAAGTGCTGTTTGCATAGATTGAAATCGTAAGGCTGCGAAGGGGACTCTGAGGAGAGAGTTGGAGATGCTGACTAAGTGGCTCGACCTGCGATGGTCCAATTTACAGAATTTATACCAGGGAGCCACTTTGGATTTCAGAATTAGAGCACGATCGATCAGTGCATCAGCGTCATATATCCAATCCCTAAGTTGCGTGTTCTCAGCTGATGCCCTAAGGAGGTCATCTGGGATGGTAGATCTTTGGGTGATGGTATTGATAAAGTTAGAGCGGGAAGGGTCTTTATAAAAGTGTGAGTTATCTGATAGATGGCTTATGGACTGTCTTCTACTGAATCAGACCTTTCTATCAAGGTCAGTATTGTCTACTCTGATTGGCAGCAGCTGTCCGAGGTCTCAGGTAGAGGTCTTTCCAATCCCCACCTACTTGATCAGGAGATGCCGGGGATCGAACTGGAGACCATTGCTGTGCATAGCCTTGTAGCTTCATTTCTTCATTCTCTCGCCCTTCCCCTCAAGGTGTGTCCGGGCCGCGAGGGCCCCATCTTCTTCGGGGACGAGCAGCACGGGTTTGTGTTCAGCCACACCTTCTTCATCAAAGACAGCCTGGCGCGGGGCTTCCAGCGCTGGTACAGCATCATCACCGTCATGATGGACCGCATTTACCTCATTAACTCCTGGCCGTTCCTGCTGGGCAAGATCCGGGGGATTATTGATGAGCTGCAGGGCAAAGCGCTGAAGGTGAGTGGGGGGCTGCGTGGGAGAGACAGAGGGGGTACGATCAAGATTTGCGGGGAAGACGTTTGTGTCAACTCTCGCAGGCTGTGGGGCTCACTTAACTGCCATGGAAGCTCGCTGGGTGACCTTGGGCCAGTCACACACCCTCGGCCCCGCCTACCTCCTAGGTCTGTTTTGAGGGTAAAATGGAGGTGAGGAGAATAGCATTAAGCGGGTCATTTAGTAGAAAAAGAGGAGCAGGAGCTCATTAGCATAACTTATTAGCATAACTTATTTTGCATATGCCACACCCCTTGACATCACCGGAAGTGTGTCAGAAGGCAACGCCGAATGCTCAGGCTCCACTGGACTGTTTTGGATTGCTAGCTGTTGGGGGGGGGGGGACGTGCAGATCTGTCCTCGCAGAGGAGGGAGAGCTTGTACCTGAATAAAACTTGGTCTTAAAGGTGCCACTGGACTGTTTTGGATTGCTAACTATAGTGGTGGTGGGGGGGAAACGCACAGATCTGCCCTCAGAGAAGGGAGAGCTTGTACCTGAAGAGGGTATGGGGGGGGGGGCTCTGCAACTTACCTGGCTGCTTCTAGCTCCTCGTGGCCCAACTGAGGGCTGCTGGGACATGTTACATGTGCCCGCCCCCTGGGCTCCTTACTGCCGGAGCTCCGCTCCTGTGTGCTCCCGCAGGAAATGACCCCTGGTGTTAAGACATTTTGGGTCCAAGAAAGGCAAGGTAGAAACGACCGAAGTGAACCACTGAGAACTGAGATGTGGATTAGGTTGTTATGAGGACAAAAAAGAGAGCACTGTAAGCCATTTTAGGTCTCCATTGATGGAGGGAAGGCAGAGTTAGGAGTACAAATAAAATAAAATAAAAATAGCATTTTCTGGGTCGTCTTCAGGAGTTTGTTTGTTGCCTCGTCTTCCTTCCTCACGAGAGAGGCTTTGGGTCTCTCTGGAAACGCTTCTGACTTTGAATTTGTTTCGAACGAGGGTACGTTTCTATTGGACTTGATTGGGGAGGGTCTGCTCCGAATCAGGGTGTGTTGGAAGCCCACCTCTTTCCTAGGAGCCACTTTGGTGTCGTGGTTATGAGCACGGGCTCCAATCTTGATTCCCAGCTCCTCCACGTGCAGCTGCTGGTGTGACCTTGGGTCAGTTACAAGTTCTCTCAGGGCTGTTCTCTCAAGGGCAGTCCTCGAAAGAGCTCTCTCAGCCCCTCCTACCTCACAGGGTGTCTGTGGTGGGGAGGGGAAGGGAAAGGAGATTGTAAGCCGCTCTGAGTGAAGGGTGGGGTAGAAATCCAATCTCTTCTTCTCCTTCTCTCAGCTGTTCTCTTAGTTCAATTCAGTTTGATTTATTACGATCAAAGATTAGCAAATACCTTAAATGTTACATATAGTTAACAGTGAAATACATCAGGACAATTGGTACAGGTAAAAATTTTAGTTAAGACAATGTGGATTTTAAAATTCCCTAAGAAGTAATAGTCTTGCTACCTTATCAGTAGTTTCATTACAAATATCAGCTAAAAGAAGAGTAGACTAAAACTGATTTGACCTGCCTGGATAGGCGACAATTATTGGCGTAATATATTTCAGAGCTGTTCTCTCAAGGGCAGTTCTCAAGAGAGCTCACTCAGCCCCAACTACCTCACAAGGGTGTCTGTTGTGGGGACGGGAAGGGAAAGGACATTGTAAGCTGCTCTGAGTGAAGGGTGGGGTATAAATCCAATCTCTTCTTCTCTCAGCTGTTCTCTCAAGAGCAGTCCTCGAAAGAGCTCTCTCAGCCCCACCCACCTCACAGGGTGTCTGTTGTGGGGAGGGGAGAGGAAAGGAGTTTGTAAGCCGCTCTGAGACGCCTTCCAGTAGAGAAGGGTGGGGTATAAATCCAATCTCCTCTTCTTCTTTCCCGGATTCCTTTCACCCATGGCTCATTTTTGCACCACAGGTGTTTGAGGCAGAGCAGTACGGCTGCCCACAGAGGGCCCAGCGCATGAACACGGCCTTCACGCCTTTCCTGCACCAGAGGAACGGCAACGCGGCCCGATCCCTCACCTCGCTGACCAACGACGAGAACCTGTGGGCTTGTCTCCACACTTCCTTTGCATGGTAAGGCGCTCTTAAGGCAGGAGCGCTCGTATGCGCATGTTTGGGGTGCGTGTGGATACAGTCGGGTGGTTAAGTGGGTTTGGGCGCAGGGCCGATTTTCAGCTGAATCCCCGAGTGCAAATCCATTGGTTTTTAGAACCGGCTTAAATTTTGACAGCTTTTTGCCACATTCTTCCTCTAGACTTGGGGTGTCGAACTCATTTTTTTTTTTTTGGTTAAAACATTTTATTCATGAGATAATATTTGTTTTAAACAATTATACATTTATCCCATTCTTAACCTATCCCATTATTTCTGTTCCCATTTACCCACCTCCACATTTGGCTTCCCGCAATGCTTAGCTCCTTTAATCCTTTCAACCTTAATTTTTTTTGAAAAAATTTTATACTTTGATATTGTTTTCTAAACATTATAAATTCTTACTCGATACTCAGTCATCAGGTAACATTAAGTTCACTTAATCAAAAAATTATTTCATTTCTAATATTCTTCAAAACACAATAAATTGTTTGTAACATCCCAGTTAGTCTCCAAATACTCTTTAAAGTCTTTCCATTCTTCAAAAAAGTCTTCGTCTTCTTGGTTGTTTAACTTTCTTGTCATTTTGTCCATTTCTGCCATGAACAAGACTTTTTTAATCCAGTCCCATTTTTCTGGTATTTTGTCCTGCTTCCAATACTGTGCATATGTCATTCTTGCAGTAGAAATCAAATACCAAAATAAAGTTCTTTTGGTTACATTTAGTTTTTCCATTTTTAGACCTAACAACATTATTTCCGGCTCTTTTTAAAAACTACATTTTAAAATACTTTGCATTTCATTGTGGACCTCCGTCCAATAATTACTTGCCTTATCACAGGTCCACCACATATGGTAAAATGAACCTTCATGTTTTTTACATTTCCAGCATTTACTCGACATATTATCAGGGTGTCGAACTCATTTGTTACGAGGGCCGGATCTGACATAAATGAGACCTTGTTGGGCCAGGGCCATGTGTGTCATAAAATGTAACGCCAGGTGGCGGAGATATAAACTTTACAAAGAACACAAACACAAAGGGTATTTTTTTTACTTAAAAACGTGCTTAAAACATTAGCTCTCTTGTGATATTTTGTTTATTTAACAGTGTGTGATAACTGACACCTCTTGCTCTGAATTATTGCATCAAAAACTTGAGTATGGGGGGGGGGAGCTGATCCGGCCCCCGGGCGGGGCAGTTGGTGTGTGGAACTCCCTGCCACCAGATATAGTTGATGGTTATGGGCTTGAATGGATTCTAAAGGATGCCAAGCAGATATCTAGAGGAACTGTCTGTTGTTAGCGGTGAGCCATGACCGCCAAACGGACTCTCTTGGTTCAGTTCCAGGATGTACCTTCCCTATGAGAAAAGTCTGAGACTTTTCCGTTGAGAAAAGAGATGACTTCTTGTTCTGGTGGCAACAGCTACCTTACAGCTTTCTGTTCTGATCTTTGGAAGTTTCTTTAATTTTCCCAGGCTCTTGAAGGCATGCGGGAGCCGACTGACGGAGAAATTGCTGGAGGGCGCACCCACCGAGGACACGCTCGTTCAGATGGAAAAGCTGGCGGGTAGGATTCGAACTCTTGAGCAAGGAGTCGCCTCCCCCTCCCCATGCCTCATCTCCTTCCTTTCCTATTGCCTGTCCCAAGGACGCTGTCACGTTTTAACTATTTAACTATTTACGTGGTGGTCTTTGCGAAGCTGGTGTGGAGATTTCTCAGGAGACCCAGGCCCTGCCCTGAGGATCTTACAATCTACAGTCTGAAGCCAGGGAGGAAAGTAAAACTAGCGATGGTGGCTGAGGGGAACCTCCACATTCAGAGGCACTAAACCTCTGCGTCCCAGAGCCAGGAGCCAACATCAGGGGGGAAGGCCTCGGTCTCCAGAGGAACTGGTTGGCTGCTGTCTGAGACAGGAAGCTGGACTAGATGGACCCTCACTGGTCTGATCCAGCAGGGCTCTCCTGAGGTTCTTATCGGGAAGGCTTCAGTCTCTATGCCCTGTTGTTGGCCCTCCGGGGGAACTGGGTGGTTATTGTGTGAAACAGGATGCTGAACTAGATGGATCCTCACTGGTCTGATCCAGCAAGGCTCTTCTGAGGTTCCTATCAGGGGAAGGCCTCGGCCTCTCTGCCCTGTTGTTGGCCCTCCAGAGGAACTGGCTGGCCACTGTGTGAGACGGGAGGCTGGACTAGGTGGACCCTCCCTGGTCTGATCCAGCAGGGCTCTTCTGAGGCTCTTCTCAGGGGAAGGCCTCGGCCTCTCTGCCCTGTTGCTGGCCCTCCAGAGGAACTGGTTGGCCCCTGTGTGAGACGGGAGGCTGGACTAGATGGACCACTGGCCAGATCCCCAGTGTTCCAAGGCCCTGGCCTGTACGCACTGTTTGTTGGCCCTCCAGGGGAACCGGTTGGCCCGTGTGAGACAGGAGGCTGGACTAGACAGACCCCTGGTCTGATCCAGCAGGGTTCTTCTCATGTTCTTATGAGGGGTAGGCCTCGGCCTTTATGCTTTGTCGTTGGTGCTCTAGAGGAACTGGCCGGCTGCTGTATGGAACGGGATGCTGGACTAGATGGACCTCTGGTCTGATCCAGCAGGGCTCTTCCACATTCATTCCGAGGTATCTCTGCATAGGCTTCATTTCAAGAATGGAATAGAGGGATTGTGCCAGAGCAGGGTTTGTGTTGTCCCTCAGGTGGAACACGGAACCAGGGCTTCCTCGACTAACACTGAGTTTGTGGTTACCTTTTTTCCAGATCTTGAGGAAGAATCAGAAAGCTGGGATAACTCCGAGGAGGAGGACGGGAAACCTTCCAGCCGGGCGGACGTCGGGGAAGGCCGCGAACTGACCAAGAGCCCGACCGATTCGTCTCTGATGCTGGACTGTGGGAGCTGGAACGGTGGTGTCAGAAACCAGCCTGTTTTTCGGTCCCTCCGGCACTTGAGACAGGTAGGAGAAAACCCCCGGAGGGTTTTCAAGACGAGAGAGAAACAGAGGTGGTTTGCCACTGCCTGTCTCTCGGCTTGATGGTCTCCCATCGAAGTCCTAGCCAAGGCTAACCTTGCTTAGCTTCCGAGATGGGAGGAGAGCAGGTGGGCCTGGGCCATCTAGTACATCGTGTATGAACTGCTTCAGGATGTTCTTACCTTGAACGACAACTTGGTTGCTGGGTACGAGGGTCTGCTGTCCATCAGTGGTCTGTGCATACCGTAAAAGGGTGGTACCGGGCTGGATTGCAGCAGCGTTGGGGATGATCCGTGTCTGCTGGGAGATAATTTATTCATTTAATTTGTACCCTGTTTTTCTGCCCATTCCCCTTGCCTGCATTTTTATCCTCTCAGTATTGTTGCCAGACCCCCAATGGAGGTGGGGATTTCCCGTCAGGCCTTTCCTCCTAGCCACCAATCAGCTGGCTGGTGGGGGAGCTTACTGATAGAAAGATGAAGGACCAGGCCACGTTGCTGGTGTCGCACAGGAAGTGACATCGCTCCAGCAATGTCTGGGTGACACTCTGGTATTTAGGCGAAAACTCTGTCGTAGAAGCTGGTTTTACCATACAGTTTCCCCCAAATACCTGTGTCACCCAGAAGTCGCTGCATGATGACATCACTTCCTGGGCTACGCGACCTAGGCCTACCTCTTTCTGCTGGTAAATCCCCCCTCATCCCCCACCGGTTGCCAAGAAGGAGCTGACGACTCTACCTCTCAACAACCCCGTGAGGTATGCGAGGCTGAGAACATGTGACTAGCCCACGGGCGCTGAGCAAGCTTCCATGACAGAGTGGGGAATTCAGGCCTGAGTCTCCCAGATCGTGGTCCAGTACTCTAACCACTACACCACACTGACTCTCAGTGTGAACTTGCAGAAGCTGAGAACTGCCACGAAATGGGGGATAAAGGAGAGCCTTTCTCTCCCCCGCCCCCCCCCCCCGGCCAGGTCTGGTGGTACTGCTGAGTCTTTCTAAGTTTTTGTAACTGCCCCGATCAGTGTAATCAGGGAAAGCTCTTGCTAGAGCTGCCCTAGAAATTTCCCCCCTTCAGATTGCCGCTGAAAAAGCTGTAGCTGATGAATCAGGACAGGTAAGGGGTTGGAAGGGAGGGAATGCCGGTAATATTTAGGAGAAGGGTCCCCAATGTTGGTGCCTGCTGTGACACACTGTGCGACTGCAATAAAAAAGGCCAATGATGTGCTGGGAATTATTAGGAAGGGAGCTGAAAACAAATCGGTCAGTATCACAATGCCCCTGTATAAATCGATGGTACGACCTCATTTGGAGTACTGTGTACAGTTCTGGTCACCACACCTCAGAGAGGATATTATAGCATTGGGAAAAGTGCAGAAAAGGGCAACTGGAATGGTAAACGGATTGGAACACTTTCCCTATGAAGAAAGGTTAAAGCGCTTGGGGCTCTTTAGCTTGGAGAAACGACGACTGAGGGGTGACATGACTGAGGTTTACAAGATGATGTCTGGGATGGAGCAGGTGGAGAAAGAAGTACTTTTCTCCCTTTCTCACAATACAAGAACTCGTGGGCACTCCATGAAATTGCTGAGCAGTCGGGTTAGATCAGATAAAAGGAAGTCCTTCACCTAGTGATAAACACATGGAATTCACTGCCACAGGAGGTGGTGGTGGCCACAAGCATGGATGGCTTCAAGAGGGAATTGGATCAACATCTGGAGCAGAGGTCCATCAGTGGCTATTAGCCATGAGGTATAGAAAGGAACTCTCGGTCTGGGGCAAATGATGCTCTGTATTCCTGGTGCTTGGGCTTCTTGTCAACCTCTGAATCCCAGTTCCAGGAGGCAACATCAGGGGAAGGCCTCAGCCTCTATGCTTTGTTGTTGGTCGCTGTGTGAGACAGGAGGCTGGACTCGATGGACCACTGCTCTGATCCAGCAGGGCTCTTCTGATGTTCTTATGTGTTCATGTGAGGCCCGCAGCCCACCCCGATCAGACAGTTTCCCATTTCCCAATGGAGCATATTTTTAAAAACGTTGCTTTGGCAACAGCTTGCCACCACAGCACAAGGATCTTCACTGTGTGTCCGAAGGTCAGCTGCCATTTTGTGGCCGGCCCCACCTCCTGTGGTAACCATTCTATGGGGCCCACTTCGTTGCCGTGCCGACCATGCTGTGTCAGAATGTCAACAGTGCCTGTAAGCTCAAAAAAGTTGGGGGACCCCTGGTTCAGGATGACTTCTTTCTTTTTCAGGTCCTGGGGGCGTCGGCCTTTCACATGCTGGCGTGGCACGTCCTCATGGGGAATCAGGTCATCTGGAAAGCGCGGGACCCGGACCTCGTCCAGTCTGCCTTCGACGTCCTGCGGGTAGGGATGGCTGACCCTGCCTCCCTGATCTCTCATGGAATGTGTGAATGGCAGCGAGGCCTCTGATTGGCTGAGCGGCTGTGATGTCACAGAAGGCAAGCAGGGCCAGGCCTTACTGTGCCCTTCTCACTTGTCCCTTTTTCTCCCCTCTGCCAGACCATGCTGCCCGTCGGTTGCGTTCGGATCATCCCCTACAGCGACAAATACGAAGAAGCCTACAAGTGTAACTTCCTGGGGCTCCCCCCTCACGTGCCGGTCCCACCTCACATTCTGTCATCTGGTAAGATGCCTCCCCCACCAACCCTTTTCACTGCCCACGTGAATCCTGTACTGAAACAAACGCGATGCCAGTGATTTTTAAACGAGATTTAAACCTGTTCCTGTGGAAGCTGTTGTGGCATGCTTCCTCGGTCTGGGTGGTACCTGTTCCCCTACTCCTTACAACGAGTTTAGCAGCCTTCCGAGGAGAACTCCAACCATAGCCAAGTGACGTTTTTGTAGGCCTGGGGTGGGGAAACTAGAGATATGTTTTTTCAACTTTCTTGGTGGCGTACGGTAGTGGTTAGAATGTTGGTCTACAGAACCTAAAAAGTTTAGTCAGGAATAGAAAAGGGCCAACTCTAAAACTCTAATAATAAAATATACAAAAATATATATGTGTGTTTATTCAACATAAATTAAAATAACAAACAAGGGCCCATTCATATCTCATATAAAACTATAAAAACATACAAGGGCTAATAAGATAGACCTAATAAGATAGACCTAACGCGTTTCGGCCTTTACAGGCCTTCCTCATGCAATTCTACATATACAAAATATGGAATAAAGACCAGAAATCAATTGTTCCAAAGTTTAACCACTGGGCAAGGAAAAGAAATACAGAAATACAAATGAAGCCTCCAGTGAAATCACATGTCCAGTGGTACTTCTCTCTGGTCATCTGTATATTCATCTGAGGTTGTACAGCCAAATGTTCCAAATAAAACGTTCCTTAGGTTAAAAGCATTGTTGATCAAAAAGGACCTTTTTGATCAACACTGCTTTTAACCTAAGGAACAATTGATTTCTGGTCTTTATTCCATATTTTGTATATGTAGAATTGTATGTATTTTTGCACATCAGCCAGTATGTTCTGTATGTATTAGACCTCTGAGGAAGGCCTGTAAAGTTAGGTCTATCTTATTAGCCCTTGTATGTTTTTATAGTTTTATATGAGGTATGAATGGGCCCTTGTTTGTTATTTTAATTTATGTAGAATAAAGACACATATATATTTTTGTATATTTTATGATTAGACTTTTAGAGTTGGCCCTTTTCTATTCCTGACTAACCTTTTTAGGTTCTGAATTCTAGGTTTAGGTTCAGTTTTTTCCCCTTTTTTCTTCTTTGTCCTTTAGAATGTTGGTCTAGCCACTGTGTGGAGAAAAGTGGAATATACATGTCTAAACCAGGGATCCCCAACCTTATGGAGCCTACGGGCACCTTTGGAATTTTGAGTGGGGACGCCACTCCAAAATGGCTGCCATCGCCCTTCTCACACCTCCTGGGCTGAAGGAAACTCTGAAGGGGGAATTGCTTACCAGTCCTCCTCCTCCAGTGGAAACCCTTTTTGTTTGAATGAAAATGCCTGGAAACTTAACACCCCACTGAAAGCTCTGGTGAACAAAACAGCTTTTCAGCACCTCCTGGAAGTTTCTAAGTACCGCGCCCTCTCCCGTCATCTTGGGGAGCCCATTCCATAAGGTTAGGGTTAGGGTTAGCACCGGGGTTAGCACCAGGGATTGCAGCCCTCATAGATGCCAGTGAGGGGATATTCAGTAGGTGGCAAACGGAAGACCATAGCTGGTACATTGGGATATGTGGCACACAGGGATATGTTCTTATGTTCCTCATAATGGGACTGACCTGGATTGGAAATAGGTTGGGTCTCAAGAGTGGCTTCCTGTATGAATTGCTGTTCCTAAAAAAAATTGGTATAACCATTCCGGGTCTGTGCATGTGTCCCTCGATCTAGAATTTGCCGTCCTCGTGGAAGTCCGCGCTGCCACCCGCTCGAGCCTCTACCCTGTTTTGTTTGACGATGAACAGGCGCTGAGCAAATACGAATTCGTGGTCACCAGCGGGAGCCCCGTTGCGGCGGACAGAGGTAAGCGGCGTGCTTGGCCACCGTTGAAACATGGGACATTTGGTAAAACTAGCCGATGTTACGCTTTACTCGGTAGCGGCGGTAGTTTTGGGGAGGAAGGTGTCATGATTGCTCCCCATTTGGCTAAGTGCATAGAAAGAGGAGAGACGTTGAGTGTAATCTAGTTTGCTATTCAGAAGGTGGGTGGAGTTCTGGTCCAGCACAGCTCCTGTTGAGCCATTGGAAACCTGATTGGTTGTGCAGATAAAAATAACACTGTTTTGGCAGCAGCTGTCACCACAGTGTCGTTTCCCTCTCTCACACTCTTCTTTCCCAGTGGATTTTTAAAAATTACCCCTCTTCTCCCTGCACGTAGACGTCCTCTATGTGTACATGTGGCTCCACCTCCCATGGCAGCCATTTTGTGGTTGGCTCCACCTACTGTGGCAGCCATTTTGTGATTGCACTCACCACTCTGGATCAGAATTCCAAAGGTGCCCATGGGCTTAAAGAGGTTGGGGACTCCTGACCCTAGAGCTTGGTAATTGGGTGGATAAAGACTTAATTACCCATTCATCACATGTTAAAGCCTTTTTCTCCCCCGTCCCCTTTTCCGGGAAACAGTTGGTCCTACCATCTTGAACAAGATCGAAGCAGCTTTGACAAACCAGAACCTTCTGGTGGATGTTGTAGACCAGTGCCTCATCTGCCTGAAGGAGGAATGGATGAAGTAAGTGACCGCCTCCACTCCTGTATAAGGTTTTAAATAAGAAGAGGAGATTGGATTTACACCCCGCCCTTCACTCAGAGTCTCAGGGCGGCTTACAAACCCCTTTCCCTTCCCCTCCCCACAACAGACACCCTGTGAGGCAGGTGGGGCTGAGAGAGCTCTTTCAAGAACAGCTCTGACAGAACTATGGCTTGCCCAAGGTTATCCAGCAGCTGCAAGTGGAGGAGTGGGGAATTAAACCTGGTTCTCCCAGATTAGAGTCCGCACACTCAACCACTACACCAGACTGGCTCTCATGGTGAGATGCATGTTCCCCTCACCACAGGGAAATGTTCAAAGAATGCAGGAGCAAGAGGCCGCTTGGGTCAAGGGATTGTTTTTAAAAGATGTCCAGGTTTGAAAGGATCTCTTGAGGTGAAGAAGTCGTGTGTGCCCAATGGAGGTATTAATTGTGTTGAGACATGGCGTAGTGGATAGAGTGTCACACTAGGATCCTGGGAGGACCCAGGTTGTAATCCCCGTTTCTACCAGGGAAGCTTACTGGGTGACCTTGGGCCCGTCACAAACTCTCAGCCTGGCCTGCCTCACAGGGTTGTTGTAGGGAGAACACTGTTGTAAGCTGCTTTGAGTCCCAGCTGGGGAGAAAACTGGGACATAAACAAATGAATGCAAATGAATGTATAGATGGGAAGGGGAGGGGCTGCTCTTTTGAGACCGCTCCCTTGAACGCGGTAAAATCAGCCTTGTCAGCTTTATCTCTGGATCCTCATCAACTGTATTCAGAGCGTTTACAGCGTGATCCTAAGTCAAGTTGCATCGTTCTAAGGTCAGGAATTTTGTAGAGTTTAACTCCGCTTAGGTTCGCTCTGTTCATTTAGCCAATTTGGCCACGTAGGTCTAATAGCAGTGTGTCATTTTTTGATGGCGTAAACTTCGAGGTGGCATTCCCTTGTTGGTGTTCTGCTGCATGTGAACACATATGAGAGACAGGTTTCATTCTTGAAGTACTCTAGCTTATGCCCAGTTCCATTTTTAGTTCTTAACAAATCATAGAATCATAGAGCTGGAAGAGACCTCCAAGGTCATCTAGTCCAACCCCCTGCACAATGCAGGAAATTCACAAATACCTCCTCCTCCACCCCCACAGTGACCCGTTTCACGCCCTGGAAGCCTGTTCGCGGGGAGGGTGGGTTATAAATTTAAATAAATAAATAAATAAAATAAGATGACAAAAAACCTCCAGGATCCCCGGCCAAACTGGCCTGGAGAAAAACTGCTCCCTGGGCATGTAAGAAAGGGCCACGAGAACTAAGCAAGAACAGAAACTTTGTACACAGCGACAGAAAGGAGATTGCCTTTTCTTGAGAAGATAATTTATGCTGCTTGTTATCCTGCAGTGTTTGGAAGATGGTTTTTAATTTCTGTTTCTTTGGGGGGGTGGCTGTTTTGCCTTCGGCAGTAAAGTGAAGGTCCTCTTCAAGTTCACCAAAGTGGACAGCCGGCCGAAGGAAGACACCCAGAAGCTGCTGAGCATTCTGGGAGCCTCTGAGGAGGACAACGTGAAGCTCCTGAAGTTCTGGATGACGGGCCTCAGCAAGACCTACAAGTCTCACCTCATGTCGACCGTGCGCAGCCCGACATCGTCGTCCTCGGAGTCTCGAAACTAGCCCAGCTTTTGTTGGGGAATCCCTCCGTTTGGCTTTCCCCGTGGGCACCCCATTGCTGCTACCCCAAAGACTGAGGCGAGGAAGAATGGGATTCTTGCATATCTGTAGAGAGCTATGACTTACTACTGTGGGTCCATGGATGCCTGAATTCCCTCTGTGCTGGTTTCCAGTAATTCAGGAGAGCCCATTGCAGGGATGTTTTCCATGTCCGTTGGCCGGAAAGACAATTGTGTCCTGGATTCTGCTTCACTGACCGATACCACAAAGCTGGGAACAGGAAATTTCCACCACTTTGCAGAACTTTTTTTTTCTGGTGAAAACATTATCCTTGAGAAGTGCCTAACCCGTTTTCAGACGGGTAGCGGATCTCCTTTGCCTGCGCAGGTGTATGGTTACAATATTCCTGTGTTATAGAACCTGTGAATCTGTCCAGGGATGGGTTAACATAATTTTAGAAAGTGTTCTCTTCGTGGCAGCCTGTTTCCTACAGTGCAGCCGAAAACAAAACCAGAGGTTGTATTCTTATAATGAAGGAAACTTGGGCCAGTAGACTGACACTGTGATTCAGTGTGATTGCTTCTAACCTGCTAGAAACATGGACTCAAAACAGGCCTTGTCCTTGAAAGGGGAAACTGAATTTTTGTATTTGGATAGAATCTGCCTGTAAGATTCTGGACTTTCAATTCTCACGGAAGGCAATGAAAACTTTCAGGTTACTTCCATTTATCCCCCCTCCCCAAAGATGTGCTGATGATTCTTGGCACTTTGAAGAAAATCAACGCTGTTTTGATCTCTTTATTTTCCGTCGCAAGTGGAGACAAAGGAAAAGCTGCACTAAGATTACGTCACATCTCAATATCCAGTGTACATCTAATGGCTGGCATCTGATGCAAAGGTTGTTCCTTTCAAATATAAAATAAACGTGTGGTGTGACGTAACCAAAGCAAAACAAGTCCTGTGTATTCAGGGCCGGGGGGAAGTGTCCTTTGGCACCTGCAAAAGTACCTTTTTATCTCCATGCTTCTGTTTCGTTTCTTTTATATTTAATAGTTGCATATTGGTTTGTAGTCTACCCATCAATTCTTTTGCTAGGGACTCCCCCCAAATATTTATGTGGAAATTTGAAATAGAAGGGAGAAACGAAGATGGCTTTTAAAGGTGGATATATTTAACCTATTGAACGGTTCTCTCTCTAAGGCGTTAACATTTTCTTATCCCAACCTATGTAGTTTAAAGATTTTTTTAAAAATAGACCTAGATTTGTTTTCCTATACAGGGAAGGATTCTTCAAGACCTTTTACTTGCTGGTGGATTTCAGTAGATTGACTTTGTTGTTGACATTTTTAATTTATAAAGCTGTGTTTGTGTTCAGTCTGCAGCCCGTGCAACCAAATAAAATAGTCATTTCCCCCCCAGCCTGGGCATACACGGCTAGTTTATGTGTGTGTGTTAGGTTTGCCAACTCCGGGTTTGGAACTACCTGGAGATTTGAGGGTGGAGCCGGGGAAAGTGGTGTTTAGGGAGGGAAGGGACCCCAGTATGGTATAATACCAACCATGAAGTCCACTTTACAGGAGAAATGGAATAAATGTTTCAAATGAATAATAGTCTGGAGCTCAGACTATGAACAATAGTCTGGAGACTCCTGGATTGCTGAAATCAGCAGGTTGCGCACAGGTATCCCGAAGGTTTGGAAGTCACGGCACAGCAGAAACTCTCTGTGATGGCAGCAATTGTCTCGGTGCGAACCTCCATTTGTTAAGACAGTCTACGGTGTGTTTCCCCAGCCCAATTTGAAAAAAACACTCGGCACGTTCCTATAGAGCTAGACCTAGAACTTTATTAATAATAAAAGAGGGAAGCATGGGTTCAACAAGATTTTGGATCCCACAGCTCTCCCTGGGGTTACAATGGGAGACATAGGGTTTTATACTCCATATGACGCTTACAAATAAATCATAATTATTGGTTCCATCAAACATCAGCACTCTGACCTAACAGGTCTCTGATTGGCAGAAAACCTTTTAGGCTGGACTTTCCCAAGTAGTTTTTTTCCTTTTAGCTGAACAATAAGTGTTTCTTTCTCTTAGACTGTAAAATTCTAAAAGTATATAGCTGATATGGTTTACAAGGTGCCATTGTTCTTCGTTTAGCCAGAGACATGCGCAGTTATAGCTGACCTACCAAGGCCATAAGCCTCAGCAAAAATAGTAAGTTAACATTTTGTTCTTTCAGCATTTTACCTTCCCAGCATGCATCCAAACAGTCACAAATGAACCAAAGTTAATATCTGAATACATTCATGATGTTAGGATCATAAATGGAACTTAACATATGCACCATGGAAGTGCTAAGTGCACCCACCAAGTCAAACCTGTTAGTCAGCGGCAGAGCATAAAGTGCTGCATCCATGAATCTTAGCTGCGCAAATATGTCGTTTGTAGGACTGGCAATAAGCATCAACACAACTATAAATGAAAGCTCTCTCCCCCCCCCCTTTTCTGGAAGACTTCATGCAAGTAGAAGCGGACTTGTAATTCTGGAAACTACAGTTGGGGCTTGACTTTTAAAATACGGATGCTAAATTGACTGGTAGTTGCTAAATTGAATGAATGAATGAATGTTATACTGAATGTACTGAACAGATGGACCTGACAAGGATGTTATAATAGTACACAATGCACTTTATAGAATAATAGTTATAAGTACACGTTAATTTAAAAAAGTTCTTGTAGTGTATGTTGTTACTTGACCCCCCTGGTGGCAACCCTACCCAAGGGAAATGGCTGTAATTTGGAGATCATTTAAAAATCCAGGAGATCTCCAAGCCCCACCTGGAGGTTGGCAACGCTAGACGATGGCAAAGGATGGCAAAGCAAGGTTCGAATCCCTTGCAAGAGCAAGCCAAGTTAGCTAGGCCCGGTTGCCTAGGTGATGTTTCAACATCATATTTTCCGCCAAATGGCCATTGCACCTGTCCGCAGTCACACACCCCCTCAGCTCTACGCGCCCATGTGAGCCTCCCCCTCCCTTGTGCGCCTGCGCACACGGTGTCCATGCGACAGTCGTCAGGCCGACGGTCGTTCTCCGCGCCGGCACCAATGAGGCAGCGGGAGATTCCGTTGGCGACGGTTGGGAGTGGCGCAGGCGCACTAGCGCCTGCCGAGGCAGAGGCCATGTGACCTAGCGGGCTTTTCTCTTCTGCAGCCAATGAAGAGGCAGCGAAACAAAAAAGCGGGAGGTTCCGTTGGCGGCGGTTGGGAGCGGCGCAGGCGCAGTAAAAGCGCACCGAGGCTCCAGCCAATGAGGAAGCAGCGAGGGAAAAGAGCGGGAGAAACCGTTGGCGGTTGAGGGGGCCGGCGGGCGGATGGCTCTGTGGCGCGGCGGGGCCTTCGTCTCGCTGGCGGTGGCGCTGGCCGTCACTCTGGAGGCGCTGGCCGAGTGGCTCGTGAGGCGACGGCAGCGGCGGGAGGCGCGCGAAGTCCTCTTCTTCCCGGCGGGCATCACCTGCGTGGAAAGGCTGCTGGCGGCGGCCGAGAGGGAGGCGGAGGGGGTCGAGGGCGTCGGCCTGTTCCCCCCGCGCTGCTCCTGCCCGCTCCCCCACGAAGACGAGGGCCCCTTTGGCCGCCTCCTGGGCCGCCTCCTCGGCGCCCGCCCCTCCCTCCAGCTCTGCCTCTTCGCCTTCTCCAGCCCGCAGCTCTGCCGCGCCGTCCTCGTCCTCCACCGGCGGGGCGTCCGCATCCGGGTCGTCACCGACGCCGACTACATGGCCCTCCGGGGCTCCCAGATCGGCATCCTCCGCCGAGCCGGTAAGGAGGGCAGCGCCGGGGGTGGGGTGGGGTGGGGAGGCGGCGGCGAGAGGCTGGCCGAGAAACAAGGAGCCTTCCCACCCCCACCCCGCGGTGGTGGTGGTGGTGGTGGTCGTCGCCTTCCGAGCAGGCGTCGGCGGCCTTGGAGTGATCCATGTGAAAAATGTATGGAAAAGATAAAAGACAAGAACAATGTCCCAGAAAGTCCTTTTTTTTTTTTTTTTAACCGATTCTTCCCCACCGCCCAATGCTCCCTCTAAGTCTTGTGAGCCAAAAATCCTACCTTGGTGAGCTCCTGGCATTAAAGTTCTGAGCCAGCGATTTGGCTACTGCGTAAATTAGTCTGCTCTGAGCCATCCCTTCCTGAGGTGAGACGTCAAGTCGGCCTTTATTGGCATATATTAGTAGAACAAAGTATATAAAGTAGGACACTGTATTACAAATACATTGAATAAAATAATAGGTTACAACCAATGTTCCCTCTAAGGTGTGGAGTCCTGTGAGCAGAAATTCTACTTTGTGACCTGCTGGCATTAAAGATGTGAGCGAGCGATTTGGCTACTGCATAAATTCGTCTGCTCTGGAGCCATTCTGCCTGAGCTGAGACAAAAATGTGTGACCTGGAGGCTAAAAAAACTGTGAGCTAGCTCACACTCAGCTTAGAGGGAACCCTGGAGCCGCCCTTCCTGAGCCAAGACAAAAATCTGTGAGCTAAAAAACTGAACTGGCCCACGCTAACCCCCTCTAAGCTGTGGAGTCTTGTGAGCAGAAATACTACTTGGCAAGTTCCTGGTATTAAAGTTGTGAGCTAGTTCTGGGGCCAAAAACCTGTGAGACAGAGGCTAAAAAACTGAGCTGGCTCGCACTGACTCTGCTTTATTCGACACAGCATTTTATCGTCACTCCTTGGTGGTGTCACAGACCTTCCTGACTCACACAAATTGCTTTATTTGCTAAACAGCGATGATGGAAATAAAACCATTTCTGTGGCAGAGTTCCTGCAGGCTACTCTTTCTGTTCGTCGTACAGCATTGTAGTGCCAAACTTGTATTCAGGAGATATGGAATTGAGACTTATTTTACATTGATTTTAGACTGTCTTAGAACTTTTCCCTCTCTTTGATTGGTATTCGTTCTTTACCTTATCTTTTGTATATTACTCTAATGTCAATGCCAGTAAAGGTAATTGAATTTGACTAACTCAGCTTAGAGGGAACACTGCCCCTGCCCAATTTGCCCTATTAGTACCGCATTTTTGGAAGAAGGGAGCGGGGCTCCTCTTCCGTCTGATGTCATCCTCCCCTTTATTTATGTAATTACATATTTTTATCCCACCCTCCCCCGCAAGCGGACTCAGGGCGGGTTACAACTAATGCTTACTCTAAGCTGTGGCGTATTGTGAGCAAAAATCCTACTTTGCGAGCTCTTGGCATTGAAGTTCTGAGCGAGCGATTTGGCTTCTGCATAAGTTAGTTTGCTCTAGAGCCATCTCTCCTGAGCTAAGGCAAAAAATGTATGAGCTGGAGGCTAAAAAATGGTGACCTAGCTCACACTGACTCAGCTTAGAGGGAACACTGGTTACACGCTATCAAAGCAGTTATCTGATATGAGAGGTCCAGTTTTAAAATACAATGTGCCTACAATATCTTAAGATGGCAATCAGCACATAAGATCAGAAAGGAGCAAGAGTCCAGGAGGACCTTAAAGAGGAGGAGCTTCCGTGAACTCCGGCTCACTTCTTCAGGTACAGCTAGAATGTGAGTCCATCTGTCCTTGTATCGCAAGGTTGATGGATTTCCATTCTGTATGGCTAAATGTGTATCCTTCCATGGAGATAGATCAAGATGGGTAGCCGTCAATGCTCCCTCTAAGCTGTGGAGTCTTGTGAGCAAAAATTCTACTTTACGAGCTATTGACATTAAAGTTGTGAGTGAGTGATTTGGCTGCTGCATAAATTAGTTTGCTCTGGAGCCACCCTTCCTGAGCAAAGACAGAAATGTGTGAGCCAGAGGCTAAAAAACTGAGCTAGCCACGTTTGTCTGTAGCAGCAGAAAAGAGCAAGAGTCCAGTAGCGCCTTAAGTCTTACAAAGTACGTGGCAGGGTATCAGCTTTTGTGAGTCACTATTCACTTCAGATAAGTTTGGGAAGAAGACCAGAATGTTAGTCTTTTTAGTCTTACAACTACATGGGTTAGGCCAGACTGAGTGTGTGCAAGACTGGCTCGGGTTTCCATGGCAGAGTGGGTAGTAGAGTTGCCAACCTCCATGTGGTGGCTGGATATGTCCTGCTATTACCAGTGATCTTCAGACATCAGATACCAGTTCACCTGGAGAAAATGACTGATTTGGAAAGCTGGACTCTATGGTATTATGCCTCAAAGCCCACCCTCCTCAGGCTCCACCCCCCAAATCTCCAGGTATTTCCCAACCTGGAGCTGGCAACCCTAGTGGGTCCAACCTGGGTCTTTCAAGGTCCTAGTTTGACCCCCTTAACTTGAGTTGCCAGATCTTGGTTGGGGAGCTCCTGGAAATTTGGGGATGGAGCCTGGGGAAGTTGGGACCTCAGTGGAGTACAATACCAAAATTCCATCCTCCAAAGCATCCATTTTCTCCAGGAGAAGAGCTGTAATTCTGGGAGATCTCTAGGTCCCACCTGGAGTCTGGCGGCCCTTCTCTAACCCTGACTGTTCCCTGGAAGGCCAGATAATGAAACTGAAGCTCAAATACTTTGGCCACCCAATGAGAAGGGAGCACTCACTGGAGAAGACCCTGATGCTGGGAAAGATTGAAGGTCAAAGAAGACGGGGACAGCAAAGGATGAGATGGTTAGACAGTGTCATAGATGCAACGAACATGAAATTGAGCAAACTTCAGAGGATGGCGGAAGACAGGAAGGCCTGGCGTGATCTGGTCCATGGGGTCGTGAAGAGGCGGACTCGACTGTGCAACTGAACAACAACAACAAGCTCATACTACTCCTTTTCATTCATCATCTCAGGAATTGTTACAACAATCCTGTAAGGTAGATAGGCAGCCTTACCTCTGACAGGTTTTTTTTGCATTCCATTCTTTTATTTCCAGCCTTACAAGCAAGCAAACAAACAAAATCAATGGGCTTTTCTGCCTATTAAGAGGTGCTCTTGGTCTTCCATGGCCCCAGCCCTGCTGTTTTTTAAACGTTTATTTATTAGTAGTATTTGTGAATAAAACTGACAGTGTCCTGACTGGGGATGTCACAGGCTGGCCTGATCTCATCAGATCTCAGAAGCTAAGTAGAGTCAGCCCTGGTTAGTTACTTGGATGGGAGACCACCGAAGAACTCCAGGGTTGCTAGACACTGGCAGGCAATGGCAAACCGCCTCTGAACAACTCTTGTCCTGAAAACATTATGAGGTTGCCATAAGTTGGCTGCAGCTTGTTGGCACTTCCCACCACCACTAGTAACAATAACACCACACTGTAAAAATCTTGAATAAAACAAGCATGAAGGAAGGATTAACAGTGAATGCTAATCAGTGGTGTTCCAAAACCGGTATGCTTGGATCACTGAGCATTTATGTTATTGCATCTTATAGAATTCAGGTGCTTGATAAAATGTTTAAGATTCTCTGTATTTGACTACTTAATAAACTAGGATGGAATTATATTTCAGAGGCCTTTTGTGGATTTGATGCTTAGATTTTTCTGATGCGTTTGGAAAAGGGTAGCTAACTAGTTGTGCAAAAGGATTTTTGAGAATCTTGGAACCGAGATCTAACAATACAACTTTTAAGGGTATTTTTAAATGATACATAGGCAGAACGGAATACTTCTAAACAAACATGCAGTTGACGTTGTGATGCCTCATGCATGGAGTAGTGTTTGTCCCCCACATCTGATGATGAGAAAGGTGGACTATAAATAACATTAATAAAGATTTTTTTTAAAAAAAACCTCCTCTGAACATGGATTTCCATTTGGGTAAGAGCCAGGAACAAACTGGAAGGTATTCCTTTGAGACTTGACTGATATTTAACACAATACTTGACACAATTTAACTCACACCTTTGGCCTTTGTTCCTACTTGCATTATGGGATCTTATTAGCCTCATAGGTGGTTAAAGGCCACTTTGAATGGGTATCCTGAGATCTCCTGTTATTGAACATAGAGTTTGGTGAAACTGATCTGTTAAAAGCCTCCCTGAGCACTACAGTGTTCAGAGCAGTTTACCTTAGAGAAAATTGAGTATCATATTGTTGGAAACATTTCCTTTCTTTGTTGAAAAGGTTAAAAATGGTAATAGGTCTATTCTGGTTTTGCAGGGATTCAGGTACGTCATGATCAGGACAGTGGCTACATGCACCATAAATTTGCCATCATAGACAAAAGGTTGCTGCTCACTGGCTCCCTCAACTGGACCACACAAGCCATCCAGCAGAACAGGGAGAATGTTTTGATACTGGAAGATGCAGAGTACGTGAAACTTTTTCTAAAGGAATTTGAAAAGATTTGGGAAAATTATAATCCAGCTAACTATATATTCTTCTCCAAAGAAGAGGTACCAAAAAAGGACAAACATAAGCCTGAGACAGAAAGGCAGTTTAACAAATGATAGTTTGCCACTAGTAAACAGTTTTTTGTAAAGACTATTCTGTGAAGATTAGTTATTAATTGCCTTTTGTTGTAGCCATTGTGTAACAAGCACAGTGGTACTGATATGTTTGCAAGTTTGATAATTATTATAGCTACAAGTTCACAGAAGTGTAACTTTGCCTTAGCAAATGGCAGTCTCCACCACTGCTCCTTTAGAGAGCTGCTACAAGACAAAGGGTTGGCACTTCAGCCTGCTGTTCCACTCACAGACTGGTGCTTTTCTTCCAAGGACCCACACATACAAAAACCTGCATAAAAACAGCTGACTGGAGGTTCTTCTCTCTCAGTAGACCTTACTGACGGGTAAGTGTGGGGGAAGACCTTAATTCAAAGGCAGTTCATGTGCGTCTGTTTAATGCATTCATTTGCAAAGGGATCAGCAAAAAATTTACCTGCGCACAGAGTAATACATGTGGAGGTTGATGTATAATCATTGTCCCTGTATGATGTTATGGAAGTTGTACTTCCATACGGAAGTGTAGCAAAGCAGCTCTGAGGAACCTTTTGTTTTTGGTTGAAACAGTCTTAGAAATAATGAACTTTCTTGGGAAAGATATCCATATTTTTAAAGTGATTATTACAGAAAGTATGTTGCATCAGTATTGGCATGCACAACATGAAGAGTCTTAAATATCACAGAGCCAGACAGGCATAAAACAGTTAACATGTAAGACATTGTGTGTTAAAGAGTGTGGCCTTAATTGACTGTTCTTGTTTCCATCCTCCAAGCTAGGATAGCCTGGATCCATCCTCCTTGATGTGAAAGTAGAGCTAACTAGCACTATTTGACCTTGTTATTGTAGAATTTTTACATCGACAGTACAGTGTGTTCATACTGGGAAATGGTGAAACATTGGGAAGGGTTCTCTTATTTGACCTGCTACTTGTAGGTACACAATGATAAGGCAACAGTAAAACTGTAGAGGGCCCAGCATCAGAGTTGTAATGTTTTGGTGTTCTTATATTTTTTTCCCCAAAAGAGAAAAATGTGCAGTTTTCATTAATTTGGGATGTTAGAAACTGTTCAGCAGAAAGGTTGAGTGTACATATATTTTATGTTATAGCTTTTCAAAGTGTGCTTTGTTTTTCATAATACCAGCAGCTGCCATTTTTGGATTTTTAACAAATGCGTGTATGCAGTGAGAGATGTCAAGACCATTGAACTAATAAATCCTGACGTTTTATTTGCTGTCTTAAACAAAAATCTTCTCCACAGCATGCCAAGAGTGGTGCAAAAATAGTTTATTACGATATAGTTTTATGTATAGTAAAGTAATTATATTTACAAAATAAAAATCATCAGCGCTACATCCATGGGACCCCCTAGCATGTCACACAAGTTTTTGTAAGGAATAAATACTGTGGCATAAGTGACACATCTATTACAGTGAACAGTTGAAGAGGGAAATAGCTCTTTTAAAAGTATGAAAATAAAGGAGGAAAATACCTTTCATTCTCCTAGCAGGAAGTTCAAAATTCTTCTTTGCCAAAAGAAAATGAATCAAATCACACAGGCTAATTTGTGGGGACCACATCATCTTTCCTCATTGCAGTGATTTTATTTGAATGTGCCTCTCTTGCACACTAATTGCCATTTGTGGTTTTACAGTACTGCCACCCCCTATGGCCTTATTTTTACCTCAGAATCTTGCTGAGCTATAGGAATAGAACATTCTCCTCTTATGTGATTATTCGGAGGGTCACTGTTATGACACTGCATGGGTCTGCTTGTCACTCAGGCAGGCTGATAGCGCCCCCCCCCCTCTGAGAACTAGAGGAATGGGTTCGTCAGCTGAGGGGAACTCAAGAGTGTATTTTGCTAGTTTGTCCCCTCATTAAACAATGTATTGGAAGAATATATTAGTACATGCTCTTGTTGCTCAAACACAATATGTGCATTTAGAGGCTATCGGGTTTTTTCTTCTTAGAGGGGAATGTTCCCATTTTAAGCTATGGTGGACTCACATGTTCTTTTCCTGCCAGAACAAAATTATGTCCCTAAGCCAATCTGCATTGGGCAAATTGGGTCTACTGTCAACCCCCCCCCCTCCCCATTTCATGTATCTTCTAGTGGACTTCTAAGCATGGCTTTGGGCTGCCAAATACCACTAGCCAAAGCAAAACATCAACTGTATATGCTGACATCACCATTTATCAAGTCATGCAGTAATGGCACCTCTACTTCTAAGGAATTTTTTCATATTCTAGTGGTATAGGGTCAGCTTAGCAAGGCAACTGTTGAACCTGCTGTGAATGAAAGAGTGTAACTCTAAATTGAACGGCCGTCCTAAAAGAACAGTATTCTGCCATGCTGTTACAACACCATGCCATGAAACTTAGAAGGGACGGGAAAGAATCAGAATCTATACACGTTGTCTGTAGAAATCCTCATAGGCATAGGCATCTTTGTACAGCTATGCAAATAGCACAGTTAGACTCTTGGCCCTAATATATGGGAACCTTAGTTCACTTTGCAGCAGTGTTACCATGCAAAGATATTGGTGTATGCCTAGTGAGAGAGTAGCTGCTACCACCACTACTGCTATAGAAATATAGTAAATCAGCACACTCAAAGAATTTATACCACTGTCAACTTATACTTACAAGATTACTGAACAGAGTAGGGAAGAAAATCAGTGTATAGGTAAGCAGGTTTAAAGTTTTGAAACATTTTAGGTGTTCTTGGGACAGGCATTTCCAAAACTAAAAAGATATCAGAAATTTAAAAAATATATAACATTCAAACAAACCTTCTATAAAGGAACACAGAGCAGAGTTTATCACACACAAAGCTGCCTTATACTGAATCAGACCCACTGGTCCATCAGAGTCAGTATTGTCTACTCAGACTGGCAGAGGCTCTCCAGGGTCTCAGGCAGAGGTCTTTCACATCCCCTACTGCCTGGTCCTTTTAGTTGGAGATGCCAGGGGTTGAACCCGGGACCTTCTGCATGCTGAGGAGATGCTCTACCACTGAGCCACGGCCCCTCCCCTACCAGGTTACAATAATTTCAAACTTAAAATGACAGTGTATTAGAACCAGATTTTTTTAAAAAGTCACCCAAAACATAAGAGCCCTCCACTAGTTTTTGAGTAATAAATATTTACATGGCGTGCTTTGAATACTATACAGGTTTTAAATTATTTTAAAGAGAATAACAAAGTTATTTTTTTAAAAAATGGGGATTACAAAGGGAAAGTAAGCTACACAGAGCGTGCATGTGCTTAAAAGTGTTCACAACAAAACTTAAGTACTGCATATGAACCACCAAAATGCAAAAAAGTCCAGTAGGATTTTAATCAAGTATATTATTACAAAAACCAACTCTTTTTTTACAATGCATAGGGCTACTCTCAGGCAGCCTCTGCCACAGGAGGAAAAAAACAGCTTGCTTGGGTTTTGTCTTAGCATATCAGCACAAGCAAAATACTCCTTTTCCATTTCATCAGAGTACAAAGGAAAACCAGTTCCAGTGACAAAGCTGAATTAAGTTTCAAAAAAAAATTGTAGGAGAGGGGGGGAAATTGCAACAGACAAGACTGAGACTTTCCTCCTTAGAAAGACCACTGAAACCAGGAAACACTATACTTCAAATTATATATTCCCCAATCTGTGTGTTTGGGGCCTGGTAGAAAAACCAACTCTGAATGGGACGCTGAATTGCTTTGTTAGAGATAAAAGGATGAGATCAAGCACTAAGGAGCTCCTTAATTTATTTTGCGCGCTGCTCAAATGCCACGTTTCAATAGATAGGCTTGTTTTGCAACTCACCATTCCACTGCTGACCCCCCATCTTACAACTGAACATTCAGCCATAGATATCAGCTTCCAGCCACTTACAGAGAACTCAATCTCTTTTGACCAGCCCCTATTTCTGCCCTGACCTCAGTTGTACTGTCCTGAACATCCCTCACTGATGAGCATGCCAAAAGCCCACTCTTTGCAAAGAGTACTGCTGTTTGGAATTCTTACTGCTGGAATAGTGGATGCTAGCCTAAACAGACTCCTCTGGGAACAGTAGAGCCTTGGGGGGGGGGGGGCTATCCTTCCAAGAGGAGGAGTCCATTACATCAAAAAAAGTTTCCCAGGAAGCTTCTAAAGTACATTAGAGGAATAATTCCATCATTTAACAATGCAGACAGAGAATGTAAGGCTATCCTCAGTTCCACTCATTGGTGCTGCAATCTCGGTAGAAACCAAGCCAAGAATAGACTCTTAAGTTTTGTTTCAGGGATGCAAAATTCTGGCTCAAAGCATGCCTGTAAATGCTTGGGTTAGTGTCAACAGTGGCAGAGCTAAAACACAGTGCGTTGCACCCTTCCCCCCCGGGCTCTGTTGCTACACCAAACCATTTGGTAAAACAGAGCTAGCTTATTGACAGGCTATCGAGCCTTAATACTGACACTTAGTGTAACATATACATAGGAGGGCTTTTGTGTGAGGAGCCAGAAAGGGGGGGAAGCATGTCCCCAATCTTGTCCACCTCTGTAGCCAAGAGTCGACTTTATATGTCAGGGCAATGTCTTGTCAAGTCTGTCTGACAGGCCAAAGATACTGCTGCAGCGTTTTTCACATCCATACAAAAAGAGCAACAAGGATCCGAAGGAGCAACAAAAAAATCAGAGAGTGCTTGTGTTGTGACGCCGCAAGCGAGGAGGTGCGCGTGGTCAAGCCGAACAGGAAGGAGAACTAGTCTTTCTTCAAGTCCTTGGATTCAAAGAGCTTGAGGCGCTCTTGCACTGTCAGGCCTTCCTTCAGACTCTGCACACAGGTGGGGGGTGGGGAAGAGGAAAGAAAAAAGGAACATTAGAGCACAATTCTGAGGGAGAAGGGCGGAAACGATGGAGACAGCGGAGATGCAGAGGCAAAGGGGTGGCCAACGACAGCCCTCCCCCAATGGAAATTAGACATGCGGAAGAAAATGCACCATGATGCGGTGATGTTACTGCTCAATCAATCCAAGGTGGAGAGAGGTGAACTGGATGGCTGCAGGCACAATTAGCTGGGAGAATTATGATTTTGGAAGTCTGAGGCAGCCTTTGCAATTCCAACAGTGCTGGTAAAGTTGCCCCTTCCCTACAACTTTGTTCCTGTACTCTGCTCTGTACCCCTTCAGTGTTTTCAGACTGCTCCTGAGGAAGACTTATTCACAAGCCGTAGGAGCACAGAATTGTCAATGTGGCCTGTGCCAAATGGTTCATTTTTGTTCCTTTAAGGGAAAAGACCGAGGTCCATCAGCCATGGACTGAAACTGACAGCTGAGCCAGAGAGGTCAGCTAGGTTTCTGATAATAAGAACATAAGAGAAGCCAATGTTGGATCAGGCCAATGGCCCATCCAGTCCAACACTCCGTCACACAGTGGCCAAAAATACCAGCCGCCATCAGTGGGGCCAGGACACTAGAACTGGCTGCTTCCTTCCACCAGGTCATCTTGAAAAATAAAAGTCGTAGCAGGGGAAGGGGGGAAGAGCCAATAGACCTGGGTAGAGCAGTTTATTTACAGCCAAACCATTTAAGAAACTGGGGAAGAACTGTTTCTTGGAAAGAAGCTCAAGAGCAGAAACCGCATGGTGTACAGCGGGGTCCCAGTTTTTTTGAGCCTGTGGGCACCTATGGAATTCTGACAGTATGTGGTGGGCACAGCCACAAAATGGCTTCCACAGGAGGTGAAGTCAGTCACAAAATAGCTGCCGCAGTTTGCCTTCCGTCACAGTGAAGATCTTTGTGCTGTGGTGGCTGCTGCCAAAGCAGTATTTTTAAAAATCTGCACAGACTGTCTGAAGCCTTGTTGGACCCACCGATTTTCTAAAAACACTTGGTGGGCACCAGGAAAAGTGGCCACGGGTGCCATGGCAACCATGGGAACCACCTTGGGAGAATGCAACTGGTTTATCTTCTATGAGTGACTTGGTTCACTCTCTCTAAAGAGCACTTTTAAAAATCAGATCTGCCCATTCCTGAGGACACAGCTAACAAGTATGTAAGCGCTACCTGTTGAGGAAAGTTTAGTTTGAAGCATGCACATTCAATTTCACATGCACACTGTTTGTCCCATGCCCTCAACAGCATCTCTTCGTGCATTTCAGAAGGTGCGGAAATCCCTCTGGGTGACAGAGGTTAGTTAGATAGGAGGGGTGGGGTGGGGGGCCCACAGAAGCAGCCATTCAGCTGGCTTGATAAGGTTTTAAATTTTGTCTCCTGCCCCCAACCTAAGGATAATTCCACGTGATTAAGAAAAAGAAGAAAAAAAGATTCTCGTCAGCCATGGAGGTATGAGCTGGGCATGCATTAAATGGGCTGCCCGTCAGGAAGCAGCTTCACTAGTGGGTACCGACTGGATTACCTATATGATAGGGACCCTTGAGTCTGGTGCATTTCAGTTATCCCATGAGACCTGCTCAATAACGGACTGTCAGAGGAGAGAGTAAAAGACAAACACAAAACAGAAAACAAGAAACACATAAATCCCAGTTCCGCTAGGAGTCCCAAAGCCTTTCCCCTCCCTCTCTGCCAAGAACTGAAGCTTTTGGCCTTAACAGCTTCTGAGATCAGATGTTGACATCCTTGCTCAGTACATAATGGTTGTGACAGCCAAAGGAAAAGTCACACAACTTGGGGATATAGCCAACAGAAAAAAGGGGTTGGGGGCTTGTGTCCCCTTCAAATATCATGCATACACAAAAGGGAGCCAAAAAGCAGGTAAAGGTACAAAACAGACCAAATAAATTGCACACCCGATCTGTCTAGTACATTCACATTCATCTTTGCATTTTGCTGGCTCAAGTAACCCAACGGTCCAGCTCATTCCAGCTGGGCAGGAAGTCACCTGTTTCCTCTTTCCAATTCTCCTGGGGTGCTAAACCCCACAGTATTGAGTAGGAAGTATTCAGTGTTGGAGGGACACATTGAGGCAAGCTTTGTTGAGTATGTCAGCCTCCTATACTCTCCTGTGACTCGCTCCCAACCTTCCAGAGTTGTTTCAAGGATCCAAAATCCTAGAGGAGGGGAAATCCATACAAAAATACAACCTCACCTTTGACCTGAGATTTCTGTAATACCGGCCAACATTGGTCTTGTCTTTCTTCAAGAAGTCTGGGCTGCTTTTAGATTTCATGATATCTGGGTGGGGAAGGAAAAGCAGCTACGTTGGCTGTTGAAAATACTTGTATAGAACCCTCTGCCCTGCCCTGTAGATAAAACAAACCACACTATCGCCAATAAGCCTACTGATTCGAGGTCTGAAGGCCCAGAAAAATTCAGGAAAAAACCCAGTCTGAACTAAGTTCTGTTGGTTTGGGGGTTTTGGGCACTGCCTGGCACATTGGCACAGGTTGTGAGGGGGGGCAGATTGCTCTGGTTCTGCTGCTGGGCCTGGCAAACACCACCACCACACCTCACTTAGTTTCTTACAGGGAGATCTGCCTGCCTTTTCCCCACCCCCAATTTCCCATAGGAAACAATGGAGAACTGGGCGCACCCTCTTTGGATGCCCCTGGAATTGGACCCCCTGGTCCAATCTTCTCAAAACTTTGGGGGTCTTTTGGGAAGAGGCTAGAGCAGCCATGGTCTAGATTTGGAGCCCCTCCCCCCAGCCCCCTGCAAACTTTCCAGAGGATTTTTGCCATTGACTTCAATGGCCCCATTGGATATAATGGACCCGAATTTTGGGGGAATTCTGAAAATTTTTCAGATATCTATGCTTTACCAATAGTGGACTCAGTTTTCTCCCCCTCCCAGTTGGGAGGTGCCGTGCTGACTCGGGCGCAGGCGCGCCAATTGCCTCCGCATAGTAACTCCCCACTTCCATCTCCTCTGCCTGGCATGGGGGGGGCATGGACTCACAAATATGTTTCTGCTTTCTCAACCGAGGACAATGACTTAATCTCTTCTTTACCTGATTGTGTTCGGAGCCCA